TTTACAATGGAACTCACAAGTCCTTCACCATTGCATCAATTTTTTTTGAAAGCTTGAAACAATTTCTGATTTCTGATCAAAGACAATAATAGGATTAGTACTATCCTCAGGAATATTTACTTTAAAAAAAATGGAAAACAAAGGTCGGGTCACAATAGTCAATGTTGATTCAGGGTTTTGGCCTTTTTTGACCCGAAAAGATCCCGAATAGCTATAAATACTCTAAATGATTAGCGTTAATAAAATTTTGGACAATGAACCTGCTCTTAGCATTTACTTGTGTTATTTCTTTAATTCATATTGGTTTTAGTATGCAGTTACCTGGATTGGTGAGTTTAGATCGACTGTTTTGTGAGAAACTACGTAGAGCTAAAACAGCTAAAACTTTGAAAGCAATTTAACAGCATTCTCAGATTCTCTGTGATCGAATGGATTGTTCGGGAAGGGGAACATGTCTTGGAGCCAAAGCTGCTCCACTTTGTCTCTGCGATCCAGGAGTTCTCGGGATGAAATGTGAATCAAGTTCGTGGGAAAAGTTTGGATAAGTATTATTTGCAAATTCAGGTTTTGGAAGCGGGGGTTTAAATAATTTCCTCCCAGGACTTGGCGGGAATGGACTTGGTCTTGATCTTTTTGGAGGATTGGGTGGATTGGGCGGACTTGGAGCTCTCGGTGGAGGGCCAAAACTCGGTTTTGAAGGGCTACCAGGTTGCTAAAGTCAAATATAATTCTAGTAATTCTATTTGTCAATTCCTAGGTTTACCCGGTCTTGGAAATCTCGGCGGATTAGGCGGGAATGGATTGGGATCGATCTTCTCTCAGCCAGTTGATGGAATTTGTACAGCTACCGATTGTAATGGACGGGGAGTCTGTGTTGGATTGAAGGTATAATAATAGACAATAATAATGTAACGTACAATAATTCAATTTTATTATCCTGTGTTGGATTAAGGGTTTATTTTACTGCAATAGATTCAATTACCGCATCTCCTCTAATAAACGCCTCCCCTCTACCGACTTTAGAAGCCTCGTTCTCAGGGCCATTTTGGGATATTTTTAGGTTTAATACACGAAAATATAGAAGACATTAAGGGCTATCTTTTGGTATATTAAACATAAAAATCTCTCAAAATGGAGCTGAGTACGAGGCGTCTAAAGTTGGTCGAAGGGAAGGGAACGAGTCTTTTGATATCCCCCTCGACCAACTTTAGACGCCTCGTACTCAGCTCCATTTTGAGATATTTTTATGTTTAATTTACCAAAAGATAGAAGAAATTAAGGGCTATATTTTGGTGTATTAAACATAAAAATCTCTCAAAATGAGGCTAAAAACGAGGCTTCTAAAGTTGGCGGGGGGGAGTTTATTAGAGGAAATACGGTAACAAAGAGTATTTAATGCAGGCTTTCCCGGTTTGTCTCTGTCATCTCGGCTACATCGGTCTCCGTTGTGAAAATCAAATGGAAGAGTTGAAATTGCGTGAGTTCTCAAGTCTGGAAATCAGCAAAAACAACTTCTAGTAAACCAAGATATTCCTGGATCAGCCACTCCATGTACTGCAGCTGATTGTAATAATAAGGGTGTCTGTTTGGGAACAAAAGGATCCTATGTTTGTGCTTGTAATATTGGATATACTGGGGCACGTTGTGAGAAAAGTAGGTTTATATTGCAAATTGCTATCATTAAGAGGTTAAATCATTAAACTTCAGCTCCATACCCTCTCTGTGATCCAACGGATTGTAACAACAATGGGCTTTGCATTGGGACGAAGAAAAGCTACTTTTGTGCTTGTCATCTTGGATATTCTGGGCAACGATGTGAGACAAGTGAGTCGGTTCAGTGTTCCAAAAGAAGAATTCTAAACAAATTCATTTCTTGATTTCAGTCAGCGGAACGCCTTGTGACAACAATGATTGCAGTCAATCAGGCATTTGTATCGGCTCGAAACAGCTACATTTCTGTCTCTGTGGTCTTGGATATTTGGGAAAGAATTGTGAAACAAGATTGGGTGAGGAATTCTTGAAATTTCTTCATCTAACAGACTAGGCTTTGATCTGAGACCCGCGAATGCGCTAACAAATCCTTTCTGTGAGATCTCCGACTGTGGTGGAAATGGGATTTGCATTGGTATCAGTGATTGGGTTTTTGCTGTAGTCAATCACTTTAGGGACAAAGCTGGCTCCAGTCTGTCTCTGCAATCTTGGATTTTCTGGGTTGAGATGTGAAATCGGTAGTATTCTATTGAAAAGTCTAATCAAATTAAAAAAAAAGTCTAGAACCAATCTGTAACTCGGGTCTTCAATGTGGTGGAAATGGTTTATGTGTGGGAAGCTCAAAAAACTTCAATTGTCTCTGTAATCTCGGTTTTTCCGGCCCGAATTGCTTGCAGAGAACAGGAAATGGGATTTTTGGATAAAAAGAGATTCATCGTTTAATGTTATTGTGTTGTACAGATGATTTATGGTTAATAAAGATCTTCTTTGAGTTCTTAATGAAGTTCAGAGTTCTTAATGAAAAACTGTTAATGCAAAAACTTTCATACAACTTAGCATATCATAAAAAATCTGGAGTACAGATGATTTATGGTTAATAAAGATCATAAAAGTCTGGACTTTCTAGAGCTTTATGCGCACCTCGTCACTTCCAATCCCCAATGCTCATTTCTCGACCGCTAACCGCACTTCATTCAGCCATTTCTTTCCTTTTCAAATAAAATCAAGTGTGTTTGAGTCTGGGAAGTGAGCAGAAAACAACCGGATTCCAACGAATTCGTGTTCAAAAAGGATTGTGGTGGAAAGAGAGCACATGTCTCTTCCCATTCTCCCGTCAACCGATCTCCTCTATTCTTTCAAGAGAACCGATCTCCTCTATTCCGGATTTGAATCCATCCTCGACTCCTCTAGATCTCCTCTCTTCCCAGATCTCCTCTCTTCCCAAAAAAGGAATCTTTTTCAAATCTCCCATTCAAGATCGCATTCAATGATAGGATTTTTCTTTTTCTTTCTCGAGAAAAAGATCTGCTTGCCCCGATTTCCCTTTGCACTTTCTCCCCACTCTATCCACCACAGAATCAACCATCCATTTTTTGATTTTTCCTGAAAAGTCCAGATTTTGTGGCTTTCTAAAGCATGATTCTTAAGCTCTTAACACTGAGAACAACATAGATCATCATGATAACTAGACATCTAGCTCAATCTGTTTAATTCTTAATTCTAAAATTATGTCACTTATTTTAAACTTGCATCAAAACACAAATCTTCATGAGAACCACACTGCAATTGTTTCTTTGATTTCCACAAAGATTTCTTTAATTTCCCTTTCTCGTTCTCTCTTTTTTCCCAAAACTGGATCCAATCTTTTTTCGATTTCTCTCATCACTTCATTCGCTAACGTGATTTTAAGCTATCCTTTTCAATTAACAGAGCCAATAGAATGTTTTCTTTTCTAAACTTTTCAAATTCAGTCGAATGCCTCGTATTGTGACGATAGGAGCTGCTCCAACCGCTTTGGGAGCAGCATTTCGTTTGAATGATTTAAAGAATCAAGGAGTCAAAGAAGCTGAAGATGTTGAGATTCTCTGTCTTGAACAAGTGATTGATCTCGAGTTTTTTTTGAAACCAATTTTTTTTAGGAATCATTTGCCGGTGGTCTTTCGTGCACTGTAGAAGATGATAAGGGTTTTCTTTGGGATATGGGTGGACATATCACCTTCAATCACAATTTCCCATACTATGAGGCGGCCACAAAATGGGCTGTGGATGAGTGGAATAATTTGACGAGAAATTGTCAGGTAGTTGATTGAAGCTATCGATCTGTACAAAGCTTTACAAAGTGCATTCTAACTTTTATAATCCTGCATCATTTACAGGTTGATATGAACTATCTTTATGGAGAAAAGGGTATCCATCTTGTCCCATATCCAGCTCAATTCGCTGTCCCGCTTTTCCCTGATTCGGTGAAAGAGGGTTGTTTAAAGGATTTGAAAGAACGATATGAGAAAGTAAGCCAAATTTCTGAACATTCTGAACAACAATCCTGCATTTCAGGAACCCGAAGGAACTCCGGAAAACTTTGAAGAATGGGTGATGAAACATTTTGGGCCAACAATTCTTGATACTTTCTTCAGACCATACACAAAGAAAGTAATTAAAAGAAAGAGCTTATAAAAAACAATCGAAACAATTAGGTGTGGACTGTTGATCCAGTGAAAATGTCACCAAATTGGGTGGGAACTCGTGTGGCAAAACTTCCACAAGAGAAATTGGAGGAACTTTGTGCAATGAATCAAGATGAATTGGCTGTAAGTTATAGAAGTTATAGAAGATATTTATAGAAACTTCTTCGTACTTTCTTTTAAAACAAACAAATGCATCAATAGAGCTATCGTTTCATTAGAAAGGTCAATCTCCAACATTATTTTTCTTATCTTAGACTTATCTTAGTGTTGTTAGAGATCTTATTTCTATTTTTAGAAAGCTGATTTCGGATGGGGACCAAACTCAGTGTTTACTTTTCCTAAATATGGAGGAACGGGCAATGTGTGGAACAGTATGTGCAAGAAACTTCCAGAGAATTGGTTTAAATTCAACTCAAAGGTAGATCTTTTAAATCAGCTTCTCGAATCAGCGAATTTCCAGGTGATTGGTATCAATTATGAAGAGAAAACTGTGGAATATTTGGAGAAAGGAAACGATACACCAAAGGTTAAATGGCAAGGGGAAAATCTATGGAAATCATTTCAGAAAGTCAACTACGATATTCTTTTGAACACTGGTCCGATTGATATTCTCGTTCGTGAGACGCAGATCACAAGAGAGTTGGATTTGTTGAGAAATAAGGTAACAGCGATTCGGATGTTTGTCTATCTATCTCCGTTTTCATTTTAGCAAAAGATCTGAATACAATCAAGATCATAATCTACCAGTATCATTCTTTTACAGGTATTCATCGTTGGAGTTGGAATGAAGAAACCGATGACATCATTCTTGGAGAATTTCACTTGGTTGTATTTCCCAGATCCTGCTGTTCCATTCTTCCGTGTCACCATTCTAAGCAGATATGGAGAGGTGAGTGGAGAGGGAACAGGGAAATTGTAGCAAGGAAATTGTAAAAGGGAAATCTTAGGCTTATTAAGGCTTTACTTTAAACCTTATATCAATATTGATTTCCAGGTTACTCCAAACAACGAAGAGTACTGGTCGGTGATGTGCGAATGTGCAAGACCAATTGATGATGAGGCAAGTCTATTAGTCACTAGCTTCTCCTATATATAAAAGAGTGTTTGGTTTAACTAAAGCGATTTCAGGATACGGAAGAACAGGTGACCCAACAGGCCATCGATGGTCTTGTATTGAAAACAATGATTGAAAGAGACTCGATCATTTCTGTTTATTCGACAACTCTTCCATATGGATATCCAATTCCAACTCCACAGGTTTACAAAAAAAATTTTGAGCATTGTAACCAAGAATTTTAGAGGGATGCCGAATTGGCTCGTGCTCACAAAGAGCTTGAGAAGAACTCGATCTATTCTCGAGGTCGCTTCGGTGGATGGAAATATGAGGCCAGCAATCAAGATCATTGCTTCATTCAGGTATAGAATCAAGATCATTATTACAATGATTACAATGATCACAATGTCATAATGATCATAATGATCACAATGTCATAATGATCACAATGTCATAATGATCACAATGTCATAATGTCTTTAATCATCACATAAAATTAGTTGAAGTGAACCATTCTGGGCAGCTTACTGTAACTCTTGATCTGTAGACTATAACCTTGAGCTCTACAGCACCTCCACCTTATTTCAGGGCAAAGAATTCGTTGATCGTGTCTTGTTGAATGAACCCGAGAAACTCTACAAAACTGGAGTCTTCGAGCCAACGAAACAAGGATAAAATCATCAATCTTAATATATCTGAAACCCTTTTACTAACTCTACTTTCAGTCATTTTTCCATTTCCGATTACCCGGTTATCATTCTTTTGTTTGTCTCCCTTACAATTGTGCAATTTAATTATTTCTTTTGTTTCTTCTCGATGTTTTAAATGGTTCAGTAAAGTAAAAAAAGCAAAACACAAGAAAAAAATTCTTGCAAATCCTAAAATTTACCACTCGCAACCAATAGGAATTTTATGGGAAAAGAATTTTGGAAAAAATGTAGACAAGAGCCTGTTTGACTAGAGAACTACGCCAACTCGGGATCGATTTAAGATATGCGATCCATTGCAAAGCCTTTGAATACCGTACGGTAGTGTACCAAGTACATTATGTTTCTCTCAATCCATCTAGGTGAATCGTTTCACCAAAGTGTTCATGTATAAACTCTATAGAATCCTTCTCACTTTTCTGAACTTCTTGAATCTAAAGAAGTACAACAAAATGATCAATTGCACAAAGTTAAAATCAATGATCGAGGTTTAGTCCCAAGCCGATTACCGTTAACATCAAAATACGATCATTTCGGTTAAGCGTCTTGGTCGAATCAATTCCATTTAGCTACTACAATGCTGCAAAGGTTTGCGAATCGATTGTCGATGATCTAAAGATTATCACTAATTTGAATTATTGGGTAAATAAAAAGACAGAAGCAGACAATTTTTGTTTAGAGAACGGCTTTTCAGCTATTCAACTTTGAATCTGATATTAGGCTGTCCAGAAAGTCTTTTCGTTTCTTGAAAAATAACAAATTCATGGTCTATGGTTCAAATCTATGGTCTTCTCTAAATAAAAAGTGTTTATTCTTTAATTTCCCATCTTTTTAAGTCAATTTCGGTCCACTTTCAAGCAAATTCGATAGTAAAAACACCTGTTTTTTGTAAAAATCTATAAAAATTTAAAACTCGTGCCTTTTGCGCTTTTTGACACCCAAAGAAATCGAATCAGAAAACATTTGTAAACCCATTTAATCTTCATTTGCAAAAAAATAATTGACCTTTCTAATAAAACAAATCCTAGTTCAATTGGTGCATTTATTGGTCTTAAACGGAAGGACGAAAAGGAACGAAAACACTTATTTACTAACCTAATATGTAAAACATCGAACTGTTGCCATAATTTTAAAGTTGAAATCCATATCCAGGTGTTTCTAACAAAACTGTTAGATAAATCTGATCTGATGTAAAGAGATAAAGAACAAGATCAGATCAAAAAGTAAAGCCGAGAAGTCTAAGGGGAAAATTTGTATGGCGAATCGAAATGAAATGAAGACAGGTGACTGATCAGCAGATGCTATTTGAAAAGGCAGATTTTCGAATTGTTTTCGAATGTCAATTTTGGGAACAGATTGGCGTCAAAGCTATAGGAATGTCACATTGAAATTGACATACCCAATCCAGCTTCAATACCGTTACTGTCGCTGTTGATTGCTTGAAAGACTTTATTCTACACTTCGTATGTATTAGGTTGGTGGGAAAATAATCGAAATTTGGAGCCTCTAACTTCAAGTCCAAAACTAAAAGTCAATAACAAATTAATTTATTCAAAGTAAAAACCATCAGCATCTATACACTGCTACCAACGCGAAACAAGTTTTCCCATTCCATCAGAATAGAAATTTGGCGCTCTCGAGTCGATAAACTGCTGGAAAGCGTTTTTGACCTCGCCTTGATTCTTGAACTGTTTATCTTCTAGAAAATGGCACAGATGCTTGAAAAAGTGGAAATCCGTAGGAGAAAGATCTGGTGAGTAAGGTGGGTGACTAAGAATTTCGTAGCCCAGTTCGCTCAATTTTTTTGATAGTTTTGGTTGAAATTCGTGAAGCAAAGCCCGGACCTTTCCGATCCACCAAACCTGGATCCAAAATTGTCAATTTTGTATGCATTTTTTCTATTTTGTAGATTGGTCCGAATTCATAGAATTTTCTGTTTTCAAGAAAGAAAAATGTATTATTCTTTTCATGGACCACCAAACGGTAATCATCACCTTTTTTGATGAATCTCTGGCTTTACAGTGCGTTTGGGCTTTTCATCTTTGCTGAGCCATTCGGATCTTCTTTTTCTGTTGTCGTATAGGATCCATTTTTCGTCACATGCGACAATCCGATTCAGAAATGGATCTTTTTCATTTCGGGTTAGAAGCGTCGAGGCGGCTGTCGGATGCTGCAGTCTCTGCGAGTCACTTAATTCGTGCGGGATCCATTGCTCCATCTGCTTTATCTTTCCGATTGATTTCAAATGAATTGTTGAACGATCAACCTGAAGGTCCTGTGCGTATTCTCGAGATGTTTTGGTCGAATCTCCTTCCACCAGTTTTTCCAGTTCTTCATCGTCAACTCTGGGAGGCCTTCCTTGACGTTCTTTGTCATGAAACCTCCGAGTGAAATCGCCGAAACCAAAAAGCGATCATACCATAAGAAACACTTCCCTCGCCAAACGCCCTCTTGATATTACCAGTCGCTTCTGTTGCTGTATGGCCAAGCTTGAACTCATAGAAAAAAGTGTCCGAAATTGTTTCTTATCCAGGCTCTTAAAACACTCACTTTTTATTCAAAATAAAGACTGACTGTAAACTAAAAAAAACATAAAAAAGAAGAACATATATCAGTCACAATTAGCTAAAAGTTTAGTATCAATGACACAAAAGGACTTTTAAAATCAAAGACAAATTTTGAGTCTTGTTTATTTCCAATATTTTCCCACCAACCTAATACAATAGAATCTTTTCTTGCACAGTAAATCAGGCTTTATCTTTGAGTTGTAAGGACAGGAAGCCAGCTTTTCGCAAAAAACAATAATCAGTAAGACTTAAAAAGTTTGTGGTACTTCTGGGTTACACCCTGCGATACAGGGTGCGCCAAAAGTTCCCGTACTTTTTATGAAGTCAATAACTTTTGATTTTCAGTAAGAAATTTGATAACAAAGGATTTTATTTAATACTAACCAATAATAATAAAATCATAACAAGTGTTCAAAATTGCCACCATCGGTTTCAATGCACTTTCTCAATCTCTTGGGAAAGTTCCTCACTATGGTCGTACATTGTGGCACCGTAATCTCGTCCCATGCACGACGTAAGGCAACTTTGAAAGCATCCACCGTATGATAACTCTTTTGGGATATCTTATCCTCCAAAATAGAAATGGCTCAAGATCAGCACAAATTAGAGATTTTGCTTAAAGAGACAACAAACGAACCCCGCCAATCGCTTCGCTGACCCCGAAAACACCAGAGTACAAAGTTTTGGCTTCATATCTCATCTGAGCAATGTTTACCGAGAAAAAGAAATTCCTCTGTAAAGAGACCGCGAGTTGTTCTTTGTGCGCAGAGGTAATCGCTCGCCGTCTGGCGCAGGACCTTTAACAAACCCCTTTCCCTCGCTGGCTGCGGATCTCTCCCGGCCCTCTCCGAATCCTCAGGGTCGAAGTTGGCTTCTACCCAAATCAAGTTAATCTGAATATCTGGTCACCAACAATTAGAAGGATGATCAACAAGGGCAGGGTATTGATCGCCTGGATCTTTAACAAAAAATGTCGAATATTAACTAGGAAAGCGACTTTAAGGGTTGGTTGTATTGCGCGCGCTAAAACCCATAATTACCAAGTTATTGCCATTATCAAATTCTCTCCACTTCTGTATTTTGTACTGTGCTGTAAAATTGAGTAAAATCAGGAATTTATTGACATCAAACTGGCCCGCTCAACTGTGGCCCACTATGAACTCAATGTCGAAAGAGAATTCTTGAATTTGGATGAGAAACGATTTGGAGATGACTCAGCGATGATTTTCTAAAAAAAGCTTTATCTTTGTTTTCAATTGAGTCTCACTTCAGAATTCTTTTAAACCCATTTAAAATATAGACTCGATATGGTTCAGTGAAAGCACAAATCAGAATCGATGACAGAGTGGCGTGACTGCTTCCAAGAGTAACACTTCCATTTAACCACATTTGGTCGACAATTTTCCCTGTTACTACTAAAAATACGAAGAAGACAAATGGGCCAGCTACGGAGAAAAATGGGATCATTACCTGGAAACAATCGGGTTTTTTTGTTCTTTTTTTTGAAACGCACCTGCACAAACAAAGAATAGACGAGATTTTTGTGTAATTGTTTTGTCTTTCCACTCATATGAATCAATGGACTTTCAAGGAGATAAATTGAATGAATCACGAATGAACTTGACTAAAGGATTTGATTGATGTGTGGAAATAAAGAACTCACAAATAATACCAATTCTGTTGCAATCACAGAGATAAGAATTTCAAGTCCAAGCGTTGAAGAGAAATTGAGAATTGGTGGAAAGATTGGTTGATTAATATCAGCAATCCAGGCATTGACGTCTGTTCCGAGAAATGAATATTCTGGATAATCCTAGAATTGAATGATAAACTACAGTGCTTGTTCAGTTTTGCCAGATACTCTTAATGTTATAAACAATAATACTTGTTTAAAACCTTTGTGGATTAGTTCTTTTTGAATATTTACTTCCAACAATTTCTCCAATCCTTGTGCATTTGGTGGATGTTCAAGGGGTATTCGAAGAATACAGATAAAACCAATCAATAGAAAAAGAAAATAATGAAAAGCTAGAATGAGGACCCAATTGTGCAATGAAAATCTAAAAGAAAAGCTTATTAAAACAAAAGAATAAAGGAATCTTTGGATGAATACCTCAACCAATGATCTTCCGGTAACACCAGTCGATGTCGATAAATAAAGCATTGAACTGTGGCTAGAATCGTATTCAAAATCAAGAACAGTCCAATTTCCTGAAATCACCTTCTTATTGATTGTTTTGATTCACTCACAAAGAGTATTGTCACATGGATATGAAATATTTCATATAAAAATCCATGCATTCGACAGCTGAGAGCCGGAAAATAGACTTCGTCTATCACAAAGTGGAGAAGTAGTTCAAAAAGAGTTGAGGAGATCTGAAATAGCCTTTTTTCCATAATAAAGATTCCCAAAGCACTTACTTGATAAAACAAAATGAAATATCGATAATTTTTCATCGTTTTCGGCGAAACCCAAACGATTAAGTAGATGGTGAAAAAGTTGAGCGATCCACCAAAAATTCCAGTGATATTCATGGCGCCGATATAAAGGAATGGATATTCATGAACAGTTTTGTTTACCATTCTCAAAGAAATCGATGGCTGAGAAGTCTAGAGGGGAGGGCTGTTCGGCGAATCGAAAATTTTCTTTTAAAAAAGGTTTAATAGGTAATAGAAAGTCAATTTGTTGAAGGCGGTGTGAAAAGGCAGGTGTTTTTGAAGAATTTTGCGCTTTTAGTTGAAAAGCTGAAATCCATATCCAGGTGTTTCTAACAGAACTGTTAGATAAATCTGATCTGAGTGATTGGCTGATAGCGACAAACATCATCATTGGCGAAATGGCAGGAGATCGCCTTTCGGAAACCTGTAAGTTGGTAAGTTTAAGATGAAAATCATCTATTCACCTGTGGTTCTATTCGTTCCAGATCCGTGAATTAGAATCGGATGAAAGAATACAGTGTCGCCAGCTTGCATTTCCAAATGAAGTCTTGGCATATTTGGATCAAAGTCCTGGATTCCGTGATAGAGTGGATTGACTCCTCCCTGGAAAGAATCATTTGAAAACCTTTTCAATAGCATTTGTACAATTAGCTAATATTTATCTGATTTTCAGTCAATCTTACCTCCCATTTCGGATATTCATGTGGATGAACGGGTCCTTTGTGAGTGCCAGGCACAACGACGAGGCATCCATTTGCTCGGTTCACCTGGAATTAGTTGTAGATTTGATACAGTGCTTGTAATTTCCAAATACTAACAGTTTCTATAGCAGTCCATGCACAAACAATGGCATCAGATGGGCCAAATGGGAAGTATTGTTGATCTTGATGCAGTGGGTGGCGAGAAAGTTGAGAACCTTTAAAAAAGATTAACAATTGCGCCAGCTATGAAGCCATTTCTACTTGCCGTAAATACTGTAATTGGACCCCACCCCTCTAATAGTACCCCACCCCCACCTAACGCGGAACTACAAACAACTCTTTTAAAGCGGAAAATTTTCATGTATTTTCAGAAATCGTTTGAATTTTTAATTTTATCCCATAAATTTGTTGTTTTTAAATTTGGGGTAGCTACTTTGCGCCAAATTTTTTGCGCAGCTCGCCATAACTTTCTTCTAAGTGGGCCAATCTTTATGATTGTAGATCTCAACAAGTGCAACAAAGTAACACCAAAATAATAAAGATTGGTCCACTTAGAAGATTTGAACCACTTAGAAGCCACTTTAATATCGGTTGAGGGGATTGATATCGGTTTGGCTGAATGGATACGGGATCGTCGACCCGAGAAGAAACGAGTGACACGCCGGATTATCTGAAATGAAGCGGCTAATCAATTCGAAAAAGCTGAAATTTCTTTCAAAAGAACCCATGGCTGGATGGAGTCGTTCTTGAGGCGCCATCAACTTTCTTTGAGGGCACCAACTTGTCAAAAGCTGCCGACCAAATTTGAGAAGGCCATCGTCGCGCACATTCTGAGGCTGAACAAGACAATCAAAGAAGGCGATTACAAGCACATTGTTGCTTGCGATGAGACGGCGGTTTGGCTGGATGCTTCGACGAACAAGTGTATCGAAGCGGTTGGAGCCAAAGAAGTTGGTGTTCTCACCCGCGGCTATGACAAGATGAATATATCCGTGATGCTCACTGCTCGTTCCGATGGGAAAAAGTTGCGCCCTTTTGTCGTGGTGCATCGGAAAACGATGAACGAAAAAATCGAGACAAAGCTCCAATCAAAATCATTGCTCTGTTGGAAAGAGAAGAAACGCAAGTGCTTCGATAATGAGATCACGGCGGAATACTTGTAACGCTCTTTCGGTGGACTTATCTTTAATCTATTGTACAGGCGATGAGAAATGGCACGGACAGAGACAGAAATTGAGGACCTCTTGGAGCCGCTCGCATCAACGGGATTTCAAGGACATCGAGGAATTGATGATCAAGAAAATGGTGAATTCATTGAGTGATAACTGACTATTGAGTTCGCTCGTTAGTTGTTTTTGTTTCGTTTTGCTGTTAAATTTTCAAATGACTGAAACCAATAAAAACTAAAGAAAAAGTTTGCTTTTGAACAGATTATTTGGATGTATCCTGATTTGGTAACTCGAATAGTGGTGTAAAATAGTAACCCACCCTCTAATAGTGCCCCACCCTCTAATAGTACCCCACCCTAGAGGGGGAGGGAAAAAATAGTACCCCATGGGGTCCAATTACAGTATTTACGGTGGGTGACTAAACCGAAAGGAGTTTTGACCAAACGGTGTGCCAGATATTTAGTGTTTGTTAGAGCAGAGATTTTGTCCTTAACATACCAGTATCCGGTGGTTTATTGATCAACATTGTGTGCATGGCAATAAATTCGCGTTTCTCGTTCCAATAAGATCTCGAACAATGGACTTTTTCATTGATTTAATAGCACATGCAATCCAGCAATGCCAACCAACTCCAATAGAAGTTGTTTTCTCAATTTGTTTGTGATTCTCACTTCATAATCCATCGCTCTTCAGCCTTTTCCTTTCCCCAATTCCTTTCCCCAATTCCTTTGCAGACATTCATTTGTCTAGGTACTCAAAGCCCAACTAATTCGTGTCTCTTTCTTCTTTCCCCTTCATCTCCATTGTATTCTCGAAGGTGTCCAAGTGTAAACAGAACTTCTCCTTTTCCCTATACAAGGCCAGATCGATGTATCGAGTACCGCTCTCATCCAAAAGAAAAGAAAGATCTGACACCTTTTCAATCTCGATTAAAGCTCTATAAATTTGTGCAAAAATTGCATGACTTTTGCCTTTCGTTTGTTATTATTCCAAACACTTTGGGCTGTTCATCGGCTACAATGTGTCACTAATACACAAGAAGATATTTGGTGTGGATGTGGATACGGGAGATCGGCACTTGGACGTGAGTTTTCGACTTGGACTTTAAGAACAGAATCTCAGATATCATGGGAAAATTATATTGCTGAGGGGGCTTCGTAGGTTGAAACTCGTTTCTTATTTTGAATTCAAACATACAGCACTTATCTAGAACACTCAATTTAAAAACAAAAGCTTTCAGCTTGTGTTGGTGGTGATTGTCCGGCTGGATACATGTGCATTTGCGACTATTGCTGTGAGTTCTTCGCATCTCTAGATTGTTACAATTCCCTTTCTGAGTCTTATTTTCAGGTGAGGGTTGTTTGGATGATTGTTACGATTGTGCTTTGTATCAACAGTATTGTGAAAATTTAAACTATTGCGATTTGAGGTAAATTCCCAAGAAACTCCGAGTCAACATTAGAGCTTTCAGACAAAAATGTAAGCGAACGTGTGGGATTTGTCAGGATAACACAACGACAACAACATAAGAGAAAGAGGGTCATGTGGGCTAGATTCTATTGTTTTCTTTTGAAAATTTATGCGGTGATAAAAAGAATGTTTAATTGTTATGTTAAATTGAAATCGGCACTATTTGGTGGTTGATTGACCGAACGACGCGTCACCGAAACCACAGAGATCGCAATTTTCCCCTCAAAAAATGCTTTTGAAAGTTGGATTTTTTAGAATTCTGAACGTTTCCTGTCTTTTTGGCTCTATTGAGAAGGATATTTTGATACGCTGGACTAAGAATCAATAGGCTGATTATAATAAGCTGTCCAGGAAGTCTTTTCGTCCGTTCCGTCCGTGTCCGTTCCTTTTCACTTCCGTTTAAGACCAATAAGTGCACCAATTGAACTACAGTTTGTTTTACTAGAAAGGCATATTCTTTTTCTTCAAAATAACATTAAAAAGATTTCAAATGTCTTATAACTACATTTTTTTGGGTGTTTAAAATCGAATAGTCAAAAAGAGCGACGGCTCTTAAGACTTAAGACTCTTAAGCGAGACTTAAGCTAAGGAAACCCATGTTCATGTCAATAGATAAAAGATAGAGCATAAAAATTTAGACATATAGCCAAAATTTTCAGAGAAATTCGTTCAGCCAATTTCTTCTTAGAGGTTTTTATCGATTTTTTTAGGAAAAACACGTTTTTTTTACAATCCTTTTATCTGTAATTTGGTTTTGCAAAGCTTTGGAGTTGGCAAAAAACTTTTATTCACAAAACAAGCGAGAGTAAATGCAATCATTAAAAGAATGGAAACACAAATTTTACAATAAAATTAAGACATAAAGCTTAAAAAACCTACTTGTATTGTCTATTCTATTGTCTATTCTATTGTAATTGGTTGTTGTGGAGATTCATTATTCGTTCCCGTATCACCGACCATTGTATTGCTTTTATTCTTTTGCATGACTCGTGGTTGATTGTGCTTCCCGTGAGTCGCTTTTCTCACACGAACTGAATGAAAGTCACTGTTTTCTTTGACTGTTTTCTTTGAAAGTTCGTTGAAGTCCTTTTTCATGCACTACTTTGTTCTTGATTCTCTAGAAATGGCTTTGATTCTAATCGTGAACAACTGAAGGAACACAAAATGTGATGTGAAAAATGGATGTACCTACTGCTTCAAGGCCTCGTCCCGGCTCGATCTCGAGCAATGACTCTTCTGGAGGAAGTGAGTCCTGCAAAGAGTTTGAGATCTCTTGTTTTACATCGAATCAAACCTCTTGTGTCTGTGTCTCCTCAATTGTCGGTTCGGAAATGTTTTGTGAATCAGTCTCAGCATCAATTCTCTCTTCACAGTCACCAATTGAATGATTTGTGATCTCTGAAAGTTTAATCACATTAAGATTTATTTCATTTCAACCTTCTTCTTCATTTGATGAATCAGATCTTTTCTTTACGTGGTGATCTTCCGTTTCTGAAATTTAAAGTAAATTCTAAAGCACTTCAAAGCCAAACCCTGCTCGGACGGTCCTCCTTTCATCTCGTGATTTTCTGAAAGTTGAGAGCTTTTGTGAATTCACTTGTACTAACCTTGTCTCTCATGTTCGGCACTTCTTTTCTCTTCAGTTAACGTTTGATCTAAAGCTTTGAAAGTCTTCAAATGAAATGAAACAAACGATGTTCAGCAATTGTGATAGCTGTCGTTGTTGCTGGACCAGTTGGCTGTTTGATTCGACGTTTGTCTCTCACCTAAATTTCACCATTTCGTAGCTTTTAAACTCAATTTGATTGATCAATTTGATGAAACTCACATCAATTTGTGGAGGTCCCTCCATTCCTTCTCCTTCATGTTCTTTATGTTCATCAGCTTCTCTTTTTCTTCTATCAACATCGGTTTCTGGAGTCTCTGTCAATTCATCAGATCCCTTGATTTCACGCTCGAAACGAGTCAACTCTAAAAGTTGAGACTTGATTTCGAAGAACTAGTTTTTCTTGAATAAAACTGTTGGGAAGATAGCTTTTGATTTTGAGAAGATACTTCCCACAAATTTGCCGCTTTCTAAAATGCATCTTTCAGGTTGTTTGTCTGTCTGCCTAGGTAGTCTAGGCCATTTTATTTTTTCCTCCCTCCCATTTGGTTCTGCATTTTTATTCGAATCAATTACGATTTTTTATTCGTGTTCATTATTCTGGATAAACGCTGACTGTTATTCCGCAAACAATTCACGCTACAACAGTCATGAGGATCCTACTACAACAAAACAAACCTTGTTCGCTGCTACTATAATGAATGGGAATTGCTGATGCATAGACGATAAGAATCATCAAGAATATCGTACCGGTTTTCATCGTTGTCAATGGGAAAGTAAACGCCCTGGAGTTCAAATTCTAAATATTACTCAATCTAGAACAAGCTATTTGACTATTTGAGAGCTTTTGAAGCCATTTTTTTTTGTGCAAAAGAGCAATAATGAGAATGAATTCAAATATTTACGAAAAATTTGTAGTAAAGATAATTCAGTGAAGGACAATGCATAGGTAAAATCAACAACTAAATCTCAGAAAAAAATTGTTTTGAAAACAAATCATAACTGTTGAAATTGGTGAATATTGGGTGTCCTTTTTTGGGAATCTGAATGAGTAATGGAAAAGTGGGAAAGGAGGGAATGGTTGGTTGTTAACCGGTGCACTGAACCGAACTATTTCTCTTCGCAACCATTCTATGACCATCAAATTACCCCAAATCGAGACAAAAAAAAAGAATAGTTGGGAATTCGAAATGGGATTTGGCACCTCAAATCCTCTAGAATTTTTGGATTCTATTTTGAAAAAAATATTGGATCTGAAAAGCGGTGACTAGGCGTTTGTTGAAGTATCTTTTATGCTGAAGCATGAAGTATCATGAAGTATCATGAAGCTGAAGCTGAAGTATCATGAAGTATCTTTTAGCAAAGCCAGAGATAGCACTGTAGTAAGATTACGGTAGTTTGATAGCTACAGTAAGAGACAATATTGCTTTGAGTCTAAATCCAATACCGTAGTACCACAGGAAGACTGCTATAGTCAGCTACGTTAAGAAGTGCAGTATTGTTTTGAAATCTAAACCCAACCCAGTATGTTGTTGACAATACTTTGGTTCTTTAAAGGACATTCAAATCATCAGCATGAAAGGATTTATTCGAAATTCTGTTATTTACAGCAATTTTGGCTCTTTGGGTGAACTGAATTGGATTGGAAGACTCAGTGACCTGAATTCTTTGTTTTTGAAAAAAAACAAGTAAAAATCTACCGCCTCCACCGATACCGGGAAGAGTTGGGAGAATGCCTCCGCCGAGAAGTGGGGAACACTCAAAAAGTTATTATCCTGTAGATTCCGAAGATTCAAGATCTTTCTTACATTCAGTCTTACTTGGCTTTTAAGCTAATGGTAAAATTTATGTCAAAATGCCAAGAAGAGAATCGAGAAGATCATGAACGGGAAGACAAATCAATTGCTCGAGAGTGTCCAACAAACCATTTTGATCTACAAGACAAATTGCGACCTGGGAATGAAGATGACTGTTGTATAAAGAGAGAGAGTTATCAACACTTACAATACTCCAAAGTGGTGAGAGCACGTTGAGAACTTGGAGACAAAGAGTCGTGTAGAGATTGATTTCACCGGTGACAAGCCCTTGGAAAGATTTTATTGCTATAAAAGCCATTCAGTTATCAGAAAGAAGATATTCAAGTTCAACATTCAATTCCAATCCACAAGGACCTTCAGGAAGGATGAGAACCGTTGGAATACTCGCAACTCTCTGAAAAGGAATGATTCTTTGCTATTGATAAGATTACCTTGATGATGTCGATATGTTGGATGGAGAGTGTATTCACTCACTGAAGTCCCGTTTATTATCTTTGTTGTCTTGGTAAGGATCTTCATGTGTGAGACTGAAGCGAGATACTTTTTTGTGTTTGTGAAAAAACTGACTCTAATCAAGTACACAAACGAGAGCCCCAAGGTTGGGAGTGAGTGAGCAATGACAATTTCCTGTACTCCCACCACTTCCTGTTATTCCATCCGTTCCCCCACTTGGAGGGGAAACTGGAGAATGCATAGCCCATAGTGGAGTTGATACTAACAATAATTGAAGAAGGGTTAGGTAGAAAATTATCTGGAATGGAAGACAGACATGGCAATAATACAATGGTACTTAAGTACAGCACAAGATCCAGTCTCTGGATGTTCATTTTGGGGTAATATTTACTACTGGGCACTTAAGACCTGATCTAAGATCTTTTCCTTGACCAAAAGCACCGTTTACCGTAAACTTGAACAACTTTAGTAGTAGCTGTAATAATAACAGAATAGACTTGCCTTTAGCCGCTTCAAATCAAGTTTTGAATTGGTATCCTTTCACTTTCTCATCCATTTATACTGTCCCATCATTCTACAGATTGTTTCTCCCCATTTATCACAAAAACATTTTAGTATAGTATTTTTGAATAATCAATTCTATAAGTGACATAGTCCAAACTCAGTATGAGCATCTTAATGAAGTATATCCAGATTTTTGTGTGTTTTCATGGTTTTTTTTGTCTTTTTGTGGTTCAGACTGCGCTTTTTGAATGAAATTTTTATGTGGAGAGGCCAAAGAGAAATAAAAGTTGAATATTCTCGTAGATTGAATGAATGTGCATTTTCTTAGCCTGATCTCTAAACTACTGGCTTAGCCCAGAGTTATCTTTTAGGTCTTGAATATCATCTGATATTCGAATATTCAAGACGAATATCAAGAGATATTCATCTTGAATTCTTCTGATTATAAGCTCAACAAGGTGATACAGTAGTAAGATCATACTTTACTGTAGTTAGATAACTTCAGCAAGTGACAGTAATACCATAGTACCGAAATGCCTGCTTAAACGTATACACTTTGAGTACAGTTTGATTGACTAGCTTTTACAATCTAAGAGCATATTAGTGATGAATATTTTCTATAAAACTGTTTCCCGAAATTCCTAGATCACTTAGCATTTGCAGACATCACAAAAAGCGGATACCTTTTTTCAAAAATGATTAATGAGATGTGCAATTCTTTAGGACAACTCATCTTTTGACTACTTTGACTCGAAAAAACCAAAGCTTTACTTTAGAAACACTGTAGTTTTTTCGATTATCTCTTATTTTCCACATTTTTATCTCAATTTTATTATTTTGCTGATTTTGCTGATTTTGCTGATGATCCGCTCATAACACCAAAAAAAGGATCTTATTTTTTGTCGACAACATTCCTGTTTCTGTACTTTTCCCTCTCCACTTACCCATTGTCCATAAGATTTCCATCTGTAGTCCAACGTTATCACTTGAACTCCCCCTCTCATCTATCATTCATTCCATTTTCTCCCATCTTTTCGTTGTCTAGTTTGACCTGATAAATGTTCCCTATAAGACAAAGTTTTTCGAAATTTTTGCCAATTTTTCTATCATTTCTCGTATTTATTTTTGAAAAATGAGCGCCCAGATTGGTTTTCACGATTTAAAGAGTGATGGATTGGTGATTACAGCTCAACAGAAAAGGGTTCATTTCGAAAAATCATTGATAACTTTGCACAGCTTTTAACCTTTATTATCTAAGTTTATGAATATCCAAAAAACTTTATTTTCTTGTAAATTCTATGAAATTTCAGTTCTATGAAAGAGAAGGCTATCTTGTCATCAAGAAAGTCCTCTCTCAACATGACATCGATATATTCACGAATCGATTCAAGGTAAATCTTCAAAAGTGGAATTTTCTTCTATTAAGAACTACAATGTTTATTGAAATTTGCTTCTTTTTAGGAGATCTGTCAAATGAAAGATGTCCCGGCTACAATGACCGTCATGCGAGATTTCGCTATCAATAGAAGCGAGTGAATATTTAGCCAATTATTAAGAATTTTTTGACCAATTATTAAGAAAATTTTTGAAAATATTCTTTTAGATACGTTCCCGGAGAGAAAGCGATCATGAAACTTCAAGATTTCGGCGATGATCCAGTCCTCTTCAGCTTTTGTCAACATCCAGAAATCGTTTCCATTGTTCGAGATCTTATTGGAACGAGAAACGCGAATTTATTGGCCATGCACACAATGTTGATCAATAAACCACCGGATACTGGTATTTTAAGGACAAAATCTCTACTCTAACAAATGCTAAATATCTGGCACACCGTTTGGCCAAAAGTTCTTTCGATATAGTCACCCAAGTAGAAATGGCTTCATCTCTGGCAAAATTGTTAATCTTTTTTTAAAGGTTCTCAACTTTCTCGCCACCCACTGCATCAAGACCAACAATACTTCCCATTTGGCCCATCTGATGCCATTGTTTGTGCATGGACTGCTATGGAAACTGTTAGTAACTGGAAATTACAAGCACTGTATCAAATCTACAACTAATTTCAGGTAAACCGAGCAAATGGATGCCTCGTTGTTGTGCCTGGCACTCACAAAGGACCCGTTCATCCACATGAGTACCCGAAATGGGAGGTAAGATTGATTGAAAATCAGATAAATATTAGATAATTGTACAAAGGCTATTCAAAAGGTTTCCAAATGACTCTTTCCAGGGAGGAGTCAATCCACTCTATCACGGAATCCAGGACTTTGATCCAAATATGCCAAGACTTCATTTGGAAATGCAGGCTGGCGACACTGTATTCTTTCATCCGATTCTAATTCACGGATCTGGAACGAATAGAACCACAGGTGAATAGATGATTTTTCATCTTAAACTTACCAACTTACAGGTTTCCGAAAAGCGATCTCCTGCCATTTCGCCAATGATGATATTTGTCGCTATCAGCCAATCACTCAAGGACAGGTTCGGGAATTCGTTTAATGATAGAAAACAGAAAAATCCCACAAATCTTGGCTTAAACCGGCTTAAATGTGTATTTCTAGAGCAACACAGCAAACGAGATTGTGGACACGGCACAAAGAGTGTTGAAGAAATTTGGAATCGATGATGCTGATGCGAAAGAAGCGATTCCTGATCTGGAGGTAAGATCGGAGAATAAATGACCAAAAGAGTCTTTTTTGATCAAATATTCAAACGCCAGCTTTTCCAGGGAGTTTGGCGAATGAAAGCAAAAGCCGTGAGCGGAGTGAGGAACCATCTTTGATCTTTGTCTCGCTGATTTCATGCTGCTGTAAATAAATTGTGCTTTCACCTTTCAGATACGAATGGATTGGTTCTGTTGATTGATATGATTGAGATTGATCTGATCTTGTTCTTTATCTCTTTACATCAGATCAGATTTATCTAACAGTTCTGTTAGAAACACCCGGATATGGATTTCAGCTATAAAATTATGGCAATAGTTCGATGTTTTACATATTAGGTTGGTAAATAAGTGTTTTCGTTCCTTTTCGTTCTTCGTTTAAGACCAATAAATGCACCAATTGAACTACGATTTGTTTCATTAGAAAGGTCAATTATTTTTCTGCAAATGAAGATTAAATGGGTTTACAAATGTCTTATGACTCGATTTCTTTGAGAGTGTGAAGCCGGGTAGTAAAAAAGCACAAAATTCTTCAAAAACATCTGCCTTTTCAAACCGCTCTCACCAAATAACTTCCTGATTTTACTCAATTTTACAGCACAGTACAAAATACAGAAGTGGAAAGAATTTGATAATGGCAATAACTTGGCACTTATGGGTTTTAGCGCGCGCAATAACCAACCCTTAAACTCTTTCGTAGTCAATATGCGAAAATCGACATTCTTTTTGTTAAAGATCCAGGCGATCATTAACCTGCTCGTGTTGATCATCCTTCTAATTGTTCGTGACGACACATTCAGATTGAGATTGGCCTTGATTTGGGGAGAAACCAACGTCGAATTTGAGGATTCGGAACGGGCAGGAAGAGATCTCCCGCGAGCGGTTATGTAAAAGGGGTTATGTAAAAGCCCTGCGCAAGACTGCGAGCGATTACCTCTCGGCGCATGGCGCACAAAGGACGCCTTGAGGTCTCCACAAACTTCTTTTGCTCTGTAAACATTGCTCAGATGAGATATTAAGCCAAAAGTTTGTACTCAGGGATTTTCGGGGTAAGCGAAGCGATTGGCGGGATTCGTTTGTTGTCTCTTCAAGCAAAATCTCTAATTTGTGCTGATCTTGAGCCAGGCTACAAATAACTATCGCAGGGTAAAACCCAGAAGTACCACAAACTTTTTAGGTCTTACTGACTATTGTTTGTTTTGCGAAAAGCTGGCTTCCTGTCCTTACAACTCAAAGATAAAGTCTGATTTACTTTGCAAGAAAAGATTCTATTGTACATACGAAGTGTAGAATAAAGTCTTTCAAGCCATCAACAGCGACAGTAATGGTATTGAAGCTGGATTGGGTGTGTCAATTTCAATTTCACATTCCTATAGCTCTGACGTCAATCTGTTTCCAAAAATGCACCTTCGAAAATAATTCGAAAATCTGCCCTTTCAAATAGCATCTGCTGATCACCTGTCTTCGTTTCATTTCAATTCGCCGTACAAACTTTCCCCTTAGACTTCTCGGCTTTACTTTTAATCTCAGCCATCGATTTCTTTCGGAATGGTGAACAAAACTGTTCATGAATATCCATTCCTTTATATCAGCGCCATGAATATAACTGGAATTTTTGGTGGATCGCTCAATTTTTTCACCATCTACTTAATCGTTTGGGTTTCACCGAAAACGATGAAAAATTATCGATATTTCATTTTGTTTTATCAAGTAAGTGCTTTGGGAGTCTTCATCTGCAATTTTCAGATCTCCTCAACTCTTTTTGAACTATTCCTGCACTTTTTGATAGTCGAAGTCTATTTTCCGGCTCAGAGCTGTCGAATGTATGGATTTTTATATGAAATATTTCATATCCATGCGACAATGCTATTTGTGAGTGAATCAAAGCAATCAATAAGAAGATAATTTTAGGAAATTGGACTGTTCTTGATTTTGAATACGCTCCTATCCACCGTTCAATGCTTTATTTATCGACATCGATTGGTGTTACCGAAAGATCATTGGTTGAGGTATTCATCCAAAGATTTCTTTATTCTTTTCTTTAAATGAACTTTTCTTTCAGATTTTCATTGCACAATTGGGTCCTCATTTTAGCTTTTCATTATTTTCTTTTTCTATTTATTGGTTCTATCTGTATTCTTCGATTACCCCTTGAACACCCACCAAATGCACAAGGATTGGAGAAATTGTTGGAAGTAAATACTCAAAAAGAACTGATCCACAAAGATTTAAACAAGTATTAGTATTTATAACATTAAGTATTTGGCAAACGTGCCAAAAACCGAGCAAGCACTGTAGTCTATCGTTCAACTCTAGGATTACCCCGAATATTCATTTCTCGGAACTGACGTCAATGCTTGGATTGCTTATATGAATCAACCAATCTTCCCACCAATTCTCAATTTCTCTTCAGTACTTGGTCTTGAAATTCTTATCCCTGTTGTTGCAACAGAATTGCTATTATTTGTGAGTTCTTTATTTCCACACATCAATCAAATCCTTTAGTCAACTTCATTCGTGATTCATTCAATTTATCTCCTTGAAAGTCCATTGATTCATATGAGCGCAAAGACAAAACAATTACATAAAAGGCTCGTCTATTCTTTGTTTGTGCAGGTGCGTTTAACAAAAAGGACAAAAAGACTCGATTGTTTCCAGATAATGATCCCATTTTTCTCTGTAGCTGGCCCATTGGTCTTGTTTGTATTTTTAGCAGTAACAGGCAAAATTTTCGACCAAATGTGGTTAAATGGAAGCGTTACTCTTGGAAGCAGTCACGCCACTCTGTCATCGATTTTGATTTGTGCTTTCACTGAACCGTATCGACTCTATATTTTGAAAGGAATCAAAAGAATTCTGAAGTGAGACTCAATTGTCCACAGAAATAAAGTTTTCTTTAGAAAATCATCGCTGGGTCGTCTCCAAGTCGTTTCTCATTCAAATTCAAGAATTCTCTTTCGACATTGAGTTCATAGTGGACCGCAGTTGAGCCGGCCACTTTGATGTCAATAAATTTCTGATTTTACTCAATTTTACTGCACAGTACAACATACAAAATGCACCAATTGAAATACGATTTTTTCCATTAGAAAGGTCAATTATTTTTCCACAAATGAAGATTAAATGGGTTTACAAATGTCTTATGACTCGATTTCTTTGAGAGTGTGAAGCCGGGTAGTAAAAAAGCACAAAATTCTTCAAAAACATCTGCCTTTTCAAACCGCTCTCACCAAATAACTTCCTGATTTTACTCAATTTTACAGCACAGTACAAAATACAGAAGTGGAAAGAATTTGATAATGGCAATAACTTGGCACTTATGGGTTTTAGCGCGCGCAATATAACCAACCCTTAAACTCTTTCCTAGTCAATTTGCGAAAATCGACATTTTTTTTTGTTAAAGATCGAGGCGATCATTAACCTGCTCTTGTTGATCATCCTTCTAATTGTTCGTGACGATGTTAGGTCCGAATCCGAACAGGCGTCCGGATCTGATCCGGACGTCCGAATGCGACCAGAATGAGTGTGGTCGGATTCGGACGTCCGAATCCGACCACAATCCGCTAAATGCCAATTGATCCCGCTTGATTCATCAAATTTTTTATAATTTTTCAACTATGATAGTTCCACCCACGCAAAATTTAAGTAATATGGTTTGTGAATTTCCAATAACTTTTTTAAAATATTGCGCGTCTGCGCCAATGTTTGCTAAAAAAATATTCATTCCACCCTGAACCACCCCGTTTATCAAAAATTGGCCGTTGTTTTAAAAATTGTTGCTCATTTTCTTGGTAGACATGTAGTAGCTGATATTTATAATTAAACTTTAATGTTTTTTCTTTTTAGGTCATTGGTCTTCAGAATGATCGCTTTTAACGATCATTTCGAGAAATTCGTACAAGAGCGACACAGTCGAGCTTTCCCGTCTAAAGCAGGTTGTGTGAAGATGATCGAAACACTTCAATCAACATCAGTAAATTGGAAATTAACTGAAGAACGAAATCTTCACCGGCGTTTCTCTCTATTCAGCGAAAACGGGACAATAATTCTTCTGCACCATGGTGATGGAGCCAAGAAAAACGACGGGAAGAAAGTCATCAACCTCTATGAATTGCTTCGACAGAAACATTCAACACTTGGACACGCTGGAATCGGTTTAATGTGGAAAGCCCTACAAAATTATTATGGGATATCGAAAAAAGTACTGAAGATTTTCGTGGATCAATGCGAGGGATGTCAATTGAAGAAGAAGCTTCCAAAGAAAGGAATAGTTGTGAAGCCGATCATTTCTAACCACCAAAACCAGCGATGTCAAGTTAATTTGATCGACATGCAAAGCGCTCCAGATGGCGATTAAAAGTTTATTTTCGTTTACCAGGTAGATTATTTTTTTGGTTTTTCAAGTTGAGTCTTGTTTATTTATGTTAATACTTCTTATTTTAGGATCACCTCGCAAAATTCGTCTCGTTGAGGGCTCTGAAGACAAAAATGGCAAAAGAAGTAGTCGAAAACATCGTATCGATTTTTGGAACCTTTGGCGCTCCACAAATTCTTCAGACAGGTAAGCTATTTTTAAAAATAAATCGGAATTTTTCATAAAATTTATTGCATTTTTTGATGGGGCTATAGGAAGGGGGGGCGGGGTGGGTAAAATAAAAACTATAGCACCTTTTTTTATTTTTGCTTTTAGACAATGGAAGAGAGTTTGCAAATAAACGTCGCTCAATGGCCTGGTTGCAAGATCGTTCACGGGAAACCGCGCCATTCGCAGTCACAAGGAAGTGTAGAGCAAGCAAACGCGGATATCGAGGTTAGTTTGGCTGCTCATAAAAATACTTGTGATCGTTTAGGATATCTTGAGCGTTCATCAAAGAGAAACAAAAACTACCGAGTGGGCCCGATTTTTGCCCTTGATTCAATATCGTAAAAACATCAGGTAACTTTAATTTTTTTGGAAATTTAAATTTTGTCGATAGATTTCATTCCGGTATTGGACGTAGCCATATGTTGCAATGTTTGGACGAGACTCAGAAAATGCTACAGCGATTACTAAGGAAGAAGTAAGATTTGAAATATTTGTAGGTCTGGAATATTTGAAGTAAACTGTGTGGTTTAGGTTTTGTCAGACGACGACGAAATCCAGCAAAAAAAGTGCCTACGAGCAGGAGGAGAAAACGCTTCAGGTTAATTTAAATTTTGATTTTTTTCTTTATTTGTAACTTTAGGAAGATAATTCTACTCGTTACGCCGGTCTACGACCTGTAAGCTTCATGGATTCAATTGAGAGTGGTGTTGAGGTATAAATTACGTTTTAAATACATAAAAATAACGTTATTGTTTAGAAATTTCCTGAATTCGCAAATCAGAGGAATAATGAGGCCTTTCAACTTGGGATTGTTCGTCCAATGCTTGGTTTGCTTTTTAAAATATTTACTAAACATTATTTGGCTTTAGGTGCTCAAAAAGATGAGGAGCAAGCGGAAATCAATTGTCTACACGATTCGATTATGACGGAAAGACATGGAGCCCATTCTGCTCAGGAGGATCAGGCACGAAAGACGCTTCACGCCAGTTAACAAAGGTACTTTTGCGTTTTCAATGTTTTTATTATGATTACTTTTAGTTTTGCACCAATTGATGTTGGACAAAATGTTTTAATGCCAATTCCTTGTGTCGATCGACCCAAGATTGGACCACGAAATTTGATGAGAGTCGTCACAGGTACTTTTAAATTTATTTCTAAATGTAAAAAGAAATTCTAGCTGTAACTGATGGTTTTTACTCGATCGGGACACAAAATGGGCATCTTCGGCAAACATTCACTAGGAATCAATTGGCTCCATGTGAAGCTGAATTCTTCTCGACCAATTCAATTCCGGACAGGGAGACATCGTTGGGAACTGCTGTTGGGGCAGCATCGATCTCTGGGAGCCAAGGTAAGCACATTTATTTGCACTTATAATCTTTCTTGTTAATCTTTCTTTTTTCTTTTTCTTACAAATTCAAATGTTTTTACCTCAGCTAAAATATTATAATTTTAGGTCACGTTCATTGCTTGTGCCTGAGCGGATGTACGACAAATCGATGTGCTTGTCGAAAAAAGAGTCTACTTTGCAACTCGAGATGCCACCATGCAAGAAGTTGTACTAACAAGTGGTCTTTTTGTTTATTGTTTTGGCTCTTTTCAATTTCAGAATGACGCTTTCAGTAACATGCATTATGTGACAAAAAGAAACGAGACTTTCGGGACAAAATACAATTATACTGTGTTTTCCTATGTTATTGACGAACTCTAAATGGACTTTAGACCTCGTGGACCGTGAGTTCCTTCCCCAATTTCCACATTTCCATTCCCTTTCTTTCAAAATGTACTCGAAACTCGAGGTTCCCCATATTTCCCCTCATTCCACTCACCATTCCCGACAATAAATAGCGCCCAATAATGGGAGCACGACACCGATCACTGTTCTCAACATATCATAGGCAATTGCTAAATAAAACCTTACAGATCGCTCTTTGTGATGACGTAATTCCAAGAACTGGGGTATGTTCTCAGTGTTTCCAATCTGATTAGAGACAATGATGCAAGTATTTTAAGCTTTGTTAGAGTTTGTGGTTACGATTACGATTAGTTTACGATTACATCAGATTACAGTTAGATTATGTTTTGTGCTTTTGTTTCTGACTTTTCTTGGATTTTAACAAACCAATTCAACTGCAGGTGGAGAGTGTGAGAAAGATGAGAACTGAGCTTAGAATTATTGAAAGAGAGATATAGGTGCGAGGCGACTTTTCATAGTCCCAGAGGTAGATCGTGGCCATGAGTCTGAAATTGGTTCTAGGGTCTGAAGAGATCTCTTTGGCAAAAGGTTTCGTTGACAAGTTTCGCTCAAAACTGTGAACCACCGCGATATGGGCGAGAATTACTTGCCAGCCAAAAGAAACCGGATGGCCTGGTGGATAGTATCCCCGACCTGCACGCTACTTCCCCCTGGTTCGAATCCTGTTTCAACCTTTTTAATTTTTAGGGCACTAAATCCAATATTTAGGTGCTCTAAAGGTCTATAAAAATATCGAAAACCAAAAGCTAAAGCATTTTTTTTTTAGGACACTAAGAAATATACAGGGTGTTCCACAATTACTGATACCTGATAACTAGCTTGAAAAAACTTTTTTTAGTAGAAAACTTGTGATGAAACTTTTATTTTTAACAAATTAGATAGTAAAGTAATGGAAAAACAACAATTATTGGATATGTCCTCCTTTCGCGTTGATACAGAGCTGAAGGCGCTTCGGGAAGTCGTCGACCGTGGCACGCAAGTAGGGGAGATCCATCACCGAGGTGGGATGAAGAGAATGCGAAACTGATTTGTGTGGATTAGAAATGCCGTAAATTCGATCGTTTTGTTGTTCAACACTTGCTGGACCGTAAAAACTTTCTCATCGGTGAAAAGAATCCTTCGGTGAGCTTTTCCAGGAAACCGAGCAAGAAGTTGAGCACAATGCTGTTCTCTCTTAAGTTTTGTAGCGTCGGTAATTCCGTGACACTTGTTTTTCTTGAAAGCTTTCATTCCTAAGCGTTTTCGAAAGATTCGATGCATCGAAGTCACAGGAACTTTCATTTCACGAGCCATTTGACGAACAGATCTCTCTCCGGGTTGCGCCTTATTTTCTCGCGAACGTTCTTGATAACAGTCTTAAGAGCCGAAGTTACAAGTCTTCCACGTCCCTTTCGATCCTGACTTAAAACGTTTGCATGTTCGCAAAACAAGTTGTTTTGTCACTCCCAGTCGTTGACGGATCGACCGTGCCGGAACCTTTCTTGTGAAAAGAAATGATCAAGTCGCGAAAGCTGGAGGGCTTGGCCATTTTTAAAAAAGGACAATTTTTTAAATATTATTAAATGAAAACAAGTTTAAAACAAGAAAAACTTAAAAAACAGTCAATAAATCGCTCGAGTTGGACAATTTAAATTCTTTTATCATGAGGGGTCGGGGTATCAGTAATTGCGGAACACCCTGTATATTTATACTTTGATCTTTATAATTTCTTGTGAGAGCGTGTCTCGGTGTCTTAATGGTAGATGTCTTGAAAACAGACAATTTATCAAAACTTCTCCTTATGAGGGCAAACTTCGCTCAAACTGGAGCGACCTGACACTATCACAATTACTTCAACACTTGCGTGTGAAAAAAGGAGCACAAAACTCCCTCAAAACAAAGCTTAAATAATGGGTTTTTAAGTACGCAAACGGACAACTGAATATCGTCTAGTGGCTGATTACGGTAGTTTATCCATCAGCTTTGAATTTTAACTTGTGTATTGAATTTTGACTAACTGCAGAGCGAAATAAGGCAAAAAAAGTGTTTTCTGACAAAAAAATTTGTAAAAATGCGTACTAGATGCAAAAAATTATGGAGAATTCGAAAATCGTAGTTATTTGAAATTTTGTCTGGCTCAATTTTGAGCAAAATGCGTTTTTGTCAAATTTTCTATGTTGAGTTTTCTTTCCAAGGCTCTAAAATGAATATATCTGAACAAATCAAAAACCCCCGGCGGTTTTGGGTCAAGCTTGTCGCGATGAACATTTTAGTAAAAAAAAGAAAAAAATCGGATAACTCAGGCAGAGTTATTAAGTTTTGAAAGAAAACGTTCAAGAGCTACCGTAATCTTCACATTTCCGCTTTCTAAAAGACACCCTTTTCTAGAGCCGTACGCAAATTTGCTGGCTTTTTAAAATTGTGCAACTTTTCGTTGCCTCTTTTTCATTCTGCTTCGTATTTTTTCATCTCATCGTCTGCCATCGACAAAGTTAAGTTTTTTCATTGAATTAATGGACGGATGGCTTTGTTGATAGGACTTTTTTAGGATCGTTTCTTCTCCAACTCATGTGCAACGTCATGTTCAGTATTGTTGTACCGAGATCGCATAGAAAAACTTGCACGGTACATTTTTTCGCAGTAAATAACAAGTTTTCCATTTTGTCCGAACGTTTGATTTTTTCCGAATTTGCTCAAAAATTGAATGTAAGCCTTCTAATCCTTCTTCAGACATTGCACCTAAGCAACGATGGCATTGAAGAAATTCCGGCACATGTGCTAGCAATACATGGATCTTTGTTGAGCGAGATCCAATATCCAATTCTTCAAGTTTTGCGAGCAATGGCTTAATAGAAGTAAAGATTTTTTTAATATCGTCGTCTTTCATGTTTTGTTCAGTGGAGCCAATAGCATTAGAGAATGTCGAAAATTTTTCCAGGCAGTCGGATAGCTTCTTATATTTTTGTGAGTTGACTAGAACCTTAAATTCCTCTCGATTTTCACATAATCTCTTGAGCTTCGGACTATTGAGATCTTCCGATTTAAACGATCGTGGGAATCCCAATTTTTGTGCTAATAATGCAAAAGCATCCCATTCTGTTGGTGAAGCTTGTCGGGCTTCTTGTTCCAACTCTTTATAAATACGGTTTCCGATGCCGAGCTTTATATGGAGTGATGGAGGAACGACATGCGTCGGTTCAGCCGGCTAAACGTATTTTTGAAAAACACCTTTGCGCAACTCCGAATATTTGAATCTATTTTGAGTAGTTCGTCAAACGTTTTTATAGATCTTTCCGGATAAATACTCCAATCCAATTTCTCTGGACACCCGTCTATTTTGCGTTGTTTTGTGGCCTTGAAAAAACACCGAACGTAAGGATAAGTTGCTGCATTTGATATTCCATAAAGAGAAGTCAAAAAACACAGGTCGCCTCCAATGAAGACGGTGAATTTCATATCAACAAGCTCTCGATAGACTTCCTTAAACTTTTGTAAACTTTTGTTGTCGTCGCTCCCTTTCCAAACTGCCAGTATTAGGTGATTGTATCTAGATTGAGGTTTGTTGCTCTAATCAGGAAACATGACGGTCAATTTTGTCGTTTCAAAACCCTAGTCTGCCATCAGCAAAATTCTCTGTGCCTCTTTGCTGGGTACACGTTTAAGACGAAAACGAAGCGCTGCTTTTATATCCTTCAATTGAATAATCCCGTTTGAAATAACATATTCAACTTTTTGATTCACTTCGGATATTACCTGTCTCATTTTATACTCACTTGCAAAAGGAGCATACTTGCTGTAGAGTCGATGTGAAAAACGAGAAATTCCTGCTCTTGAAAATACAGCTAAAGTTTGATGAGGTGAAACAGGAGAAGAAATGGGCAGTTTGTTCCTCTTATGCCTCTTGTATTTTGCGCGGATTTGTCGAGCTCGTTGAGCGAAAAATAACTTTTGTTTCTTCTTATCCCTTTTCATTTGTCTGAGAATTTCAATTTTTTGCTTCTTAGAGGTCACAATATCTCTCGATTCTGATTTGCTATTTTCAAAGCTTCTCTAACATCCTTTTTGCTATCCAACTGAGCGTTTCTTGCCTTTTGAGCAGCAATTTTCGATTTTTTGGACGACTCATCTGAAAAAAGAGCTTAAGAAAGTGGATAGACAAAAAAAGGAAAACATAAAAGCGATTGTTGCCGACAACGAAAAGTTGCACAATTATGAAATTTGCCTACGACTCTAGAAAAGGGTGTCTTTTAGAAAGCGGAAATGTGAAGATTACGGTAGCTTTTGAACGTTTTCTCTCAAACTCTGCGCTGAGTTATCCGATTTTTTTTCTTTTTTTTTACTGAAATGTTCATCGCGACAAGCTTGACCCAAAACCGCCGGGGTTTTTTTTTTATTTGTTCAGATATATTCATTTTAGTGCCTTGAAAAGAAAATTCAACATAGGCTCAAAACGCATTTTGCTCAAAATTGAGCCAGACAAAATTTCAAATAACTACGATTTTTGAATTCTCCATAATTTTTTGCATCTAGTACGCATTTTTTGTTAGAAAACGTACTTTCGCACCGATGTGGGGGGGGGGAACTTGGCCTAGTGACGACTTGATCTTTGGCCGCTATATTCTTGGCGCTTCAGTTCCTCGCAGTAGGCTACGTGATGTGGCCCATCGCAAAAACTCTCGGCTTCAAGCAGGTTCCTCCGTGATTTTTGAGGCAATTCCTTGCAATCGAAACAATTCTTTGGAATAAAGATCGTTGGTGCCTTCTTGACCTCTGGGGCTTCTTTGTAGTCGCTACCTCGGCGCTTTCCACTTTGAATCTCGTGCACGATTTCGTCCTTCATGTCGCTGATTGACTGGTCAATATGTTTCACCAAGGACTCCTTCAATTTGGCGATTTCCTCTTGAATGTGTTCCTTGGTGACCATCAAGGTGGACATGCTCTCGGTACATACGGTTTCGGTCACGGCCTTTGTTGAATCCTCGATTGCCTTTTTGAGGTCCTTCTTCACGTTTCCAATGACGTCACGGTCTACGGCTTTTGTCGGCTTCGTCTCCTGCTTCACGATTCGCACATTGCTTGGTATTGGCTGATCGGCTTTTCCCTCATTCCCAGGTGTGGTCATCTTTACCTGGAAGAAAACCTTGTCATGGGCCATTGAAAATTTGTGTCATGAAAAAAGGAGAGGAAACAGAAACAAACAGATAAATAACGCAATAATGGGTAAGTGTTAGAAACTTGATAACTTGACGCGATGAGCTTTTAACTGAAAACTTGAATAGAATGACTTTGTTTGTTAGAAGAGATTCAATTGAAAACTTGGGGACTTGAGATTTGCTTTCAAATCCCTTCATCGGGGTTTTCCCGATAATTTACAGCAACTTTCGCTCCTCTTGGGAAGGTTCTTTTCGGAATTGTGGTTGGAGTATCGTTGCGTTGCTCAATATCTTCAATTTCTGATCGAATTTCGAGTGGAATAAGCAAATTTACTGGTCTTTCGCTCTGCTCATGGTTTCCAGTTCTGATGAGCGCGGCTCGAACTTTTCCATCTGCTCCTTCAATTAGATTTATAGCCATTCCTTTTGCGTAAGTTCCTCTTTTCGTGTCCTCTTTCATAATTAGAACGATTTCGCCAACTTTGATCGACAACTTCGAGTTGCGTTTGCGTTTTTGCTTGCTCTCTCTCAAGAAGAGATTGGAGATAACTTGTTCGGAATGTTTTCCATACCAAATCTAGGTATATTCCGCCTTTTCTTTACATCCTCATGACTTTGTATAACTTTATCTTGATATTCAATGTCGTTCTGATCAGGCGAACTTTCAACTTCAAGATTTAACTTAACTCCAGGTAGTACAAAGTCGATCGGTCGTATGAGTAGCTCTGATTGAGGTTCATCTAAATATGTAAGGGGACGACTGTTTACGAATCCTTCGATTTCGGTCACGATAACTTCGAGGAATTGGCGTGCCATTATTTGACCACATTTAACTTTTCCGAGGGCTAACTTTACACAACCCACTAGTCTTTCATAGATACCTCCTTGCCATGGAGCAAATGGAGTGGTGAACTTCCAATCAATGCCATAATCGGCTAGTGTATTTTGAATATAGGAACTTTCCTCGTTTTGGTCACCGTTTTTCACGAATTTTTGGGCCAATTTGAATGTCGCTAATGATCAACTTTGGTTTGCCCCGCCGAGCACAAAATTTGCGTAAACTTTCTAGAAACATTGAAGTCGGTAGCGATTTTACAATCTCCAAGTGATTATTTCTTGTGCTTACTCACGTAAAAATTATCATCCACACGTGAATTTCTCCGTCGGCAGTTTGGTCGAAAACCAGTTGAGGTCCAATGTAGTCGATACCTGTGTGTTCGAACGGTAGACTTCTTTTTGTTCGAATATTAGGGAACGGATCCCATGGTGGTTGTTTATATGGCAATCCATTGAACATTTTAAAAGCCACGCATTTTTCTGTAACGTTTTTGACGCTTGCCTTCCTTTGAATATCCAAAACTTTTGGCGTAAACTCGCTAACGTTGAACCTGTTCCAGCATGTCCTTTTTGTTCATGGTGATGCCGAATAATTAGCGTACAAAAGTGGTCATACGCGAACAAAATTATTGGTTTCGAATTTTGCAAATTTTGAAGCGTTTTTGAAATTCTATGGACTTTGCGAGAAATCCCAATTTCATCAATTTCCGCGTCGTATAATTTTCCTCTCATCTTTCCCCAATTTTCGCTTTGATTTTGCTTTGTCAGTAATAATCTTGCGTTTTTTAGGCAACTTTCGCGGGACGGAGCTGCGAGGCGGTCGATCGAACTTTGACTGGATCAACATGGAGACGGTTGGTGTTTTTCGAATTTTTGACATCCAGCGGTTGGTGCAAAATAAAAATTTTGCGGAAGCTCTTGCCGATTTTGTATAACTACTGAACCTTTCCGTGTCTATCAATTTTTCTTGCTTTGCATAAACAAAATTTGCCAAAATGGAACTTTCCGCCACTTTTGTCCCATCGAGTCTCTGTGAATTCCTATATCTTTGAACTTCTTTAGGCCAATACTCTTCCTCTGATGGTAGAAACACTGGGCACATCGATTACACCCCTGTGTAAATTTTTTTTTCCCGATTTTATATTGTTTGTTGTTTGTTTGTTTTAATTGTTTTTTAATTTTGTGTTTTGGTCAATGGAAACGCGAGCTCTGAGACCTAGGTTTTTTAGAAGTGCGCGGTTATATGGCCCGCGCGCACCTTTGATGTTGGTAAAATTTTTCTTTTGTGTCAAATCATCACGTGTTATATATCATTCCAAAGCATTTTTATGTGTTTAAACATGGCGGAAAGAATTTCCCAAAAAATTTGACTTTTTCTTAGTTTTCTCCGATTTTATAATCTGGAATGCAGTTTTTTTCTGGTTCTGCGGTACTTGCAGATCTGGTATAGTCTAGAAAAAATTTATTCTATTTATAAATTCTTTTTTTTTTTCTAAAAAACCTAGGTTTCAGAGCTCGCGTTTCCATTGACCAAAACACAAAATTAAAAAACAATTCCCGACCAACTTTTTGCGTAGAATTCAGAAATTCGCTTTTTAAGCCTAGTTTATCAGCCAGACTTTCGTGAAAAAAATTATTTTGACTTTTCGGCGCAGAATATGGAAAAAATTTCATGGAAAAATAGAATTCCACAAAAACTCAATTCAGCATTCTGAAAGAGCGTGAAAAGAGCTATTGAATGACTTATAACACTTTATGGTTCGATGAAATATGAAATTTCACTAACATCAAAGTCGCCGCCTTTAATTCTGAAATTTTGGATGATGGTTTTCGGATTATTTTATTTTTCCGTTCATTTTTGGGCCTAACTTAAAATTTGTAGTGTTCGGATTTTTGATTTAAAGACGATTATTTTTGTTAGCTGGGCCATTGAGCCACGAACTTGCCGCTAATTGTTTGGCGTCGATTCCCTTTTTTCCATAATCGGCTGGGTTTAACTTTCCCGATATGTGATACAATTTTATCGCAACCTGATCCTTTTGAAAATCTTCTTGCATTTTGATAATATTTTCTACGCGGTTCTTCACAAATTTTCCAGTCTTTTTTCGACTTTTAGTCTGCGTTAGCCATTTTAGTGCGACTTCCGAGTCTCCGAATACGAGAATTTCTTGAATTTTCAACTTAATTTCTTCCAGATATATTTCGCTTGCTTATGAGCACATTCGAGAGCCAATATTTCCATTTTGGGAATTGTGGCTATAACTTTCGTCGGGCTTAGTCGATTCTTTGCTAATATTATTGACGATTCAAACTTTTTTCCATTTTTGATTTGCGTCTAATGTGTCAGCGCTACTGTCCCATAACATTCCCAAAAGTTTCATTGAATTTCTTCAATTTTGTCTTCAACTGGAATTGAGTTGAGAACTCGTTCATTGTTGCTTGAGAATTCTCGAATATTCATCTTCATTTCTCCAAAACTTTTTTGTAGGTCTTGTACTTTTGAATAGCTTCGACTTCATTATGAGCTCCGGCAAATAAGTTGTCAACGTACATATTCTCTCGAACTTCTTCCTTTAAATCTGGATAATTTTGTTCCAACATATAGAGGATTGACATTGCAAGCAGAAATGCACTGGCTTTGACTCCAAATGGTGCTCTTGTGTCGCGAAGTAACTCTGGGTTTTGAAATGAAACCGGTTTATTAGGATCTTTCAATCATAATATCCTAACCGAGTCTCTTTCCCAATCTTGTAGATGAATTTGATGGTAGGCTTTCTCCAAATCAGCTGTCAACAATATAGGAAATGTTCTCAATCTTAGCAATATTCCAATCATGTTTGGGATCAACGATGGTCCTTGGTGCATAATTTCATTCAGCGATTTTTGATCTTTCATACAGGCACTTGCATTTATAACGATCCGTAACTTGGTTGTTCTTGAAATTTCTTTTATGACGGCTTGATGTGGAATATAGAAACTTATGGAATCCTAGACCAATTACCATTTGCAGACATCACAAAAAGCGGATACCTTTTTTCAAAAGTGATTAATGAGATGTGCAATTCTTTAGGACAACTGATCTTTTGAATACTTTGACTCGAAAAAACTGAAGCTTTACTTTAGAAACACTTTAGTTTTTGATTATCTCTTATTTTCCACATTTTTATCCCAATTTTATTATTTTGCTGATTTTGCTGATGATCCGCTCATAACACCAAAAAAAGGATCTTGTTTTTTGCCGACAACATTTCTGTTTCTGTTCTTTTCCCCGCTCCACTTACCCATTGTCCATAAGATTTCCATCTGTAGTCCAATGTTATCACTTGAATTTCCCCTCTCATCTATCATTCATTCCATTTCCCCCATCTTTTCGTTGTCTAGTTTGACCTGATAAATGTTCCCTAAAAGACAAAGTTTTCCGAAATTTTTGCCAATTTTTCTATCATTTCTCGTATTTATTTTTGAAAAATGAGCGTTCAGATTGGTTTTCAAGATTTAACGAGTGATGGATTGGTGATTACAGCTCAACAGAGAAGGGTTCATTTTGAAAAATCATAGATAACTTTGCACACAGAAGCGATCTCCTGCCATTTCGGCTGGCGATACTGTATTCTTTCATCCGATTCTAATTCACGGATCTGGAACGAATAGAACCACAGGTGAATAGATGACTTTCATCTTAAACTTACCCACTTACAGGTTTCCGAAAAGCGATCTCCTGCCATTTTGCCAATGATGATGTTTGTCGCTATCAGCCAATCACTCAAGGACAGGTTGGGGAATTCGTCTAATGATAGAATACAGAAAAATGTCACAAATCTTGGCTTAAACTGGCTTAAATGTGTATTTCTAGAGCAACACAGCAAACGAGGTTGTGGGAGAATAAATGACCAAAAGAGTCTTTTTTTGATCAAATATTCAAACGCCAGCTTTTCCAGGGAGTTTGGCGAATGAAAGCAAAAGCCGTGAGCGGAGTGAGGAACCATCTTTGATCTTTTGTCTCGCTGATTTCATGCTGCTGTAAATAAATTGTGCTTTCACCTTTCAGATACGAATGGATTGGTTCTGTTGATTGATATGATTGAGATTGATCTGATCTTGTTCTCTATCTCTTTACATCAGATCAGATTTATCTAACAGTTCTATTAGAAACAGCCGGATCTGGATTTCAGCCTTAAAATTGTGGCAACAGTTCGATGTTTTGCATATTAGGTTGGTAAATAAGTGTTTTCGTTACTTTTCATCCTTCTGTTTAAGACCAATAAATCCACAATTGAACTACGATTTGTTTCATTAGAAAGGTCAATTATTTTTCTGCAAATGAAGATTAAATGGGTTTACAAATGTCTTATGAATCGATTTCTTTGGGAGTGTGAAGCTGGTTAGGAAAAAAAGGGCAAAACTCTTCAAAAACACCTGCCTTTTCAAACCGCTTTCACCAAATTTACTTTCTATTACCTATTAACCCTTTTTTAAAAGAAAATTTTCGATTCGAAAACAGCCTTCCCCTCTAGACTTCTCAGCCATCGATTTCTTTTGGAATGGTGGACAAAAAGGTTTATGAATATCCATTCCTTTATATCCGCACAATGAATATCACTGGAATTTTCGGTGGATCGATCAATTTTTTTACCATCTACTTAATCGTTTGGGTTTCACCGAAAACGATGAAAAATTATCGATATTTCATTTTGTTTTATCAAGTAAGTGCTTTGGGAATCTTTATTATGGAAAAAAGGCTATTTCAGATCTCCTCAACTCTTTTTGAACTACTTCTCCACTCTGTGACAATGGAATTTTATTTTCCGGCTCTCGGCGCTCGATTGTATGGCTTTTTATATGAGATATTTCATATCCATGTGACAATACTATTTGTGAGTCAATCAAAGCAATCAATAAGAAGGTAATTTCAGGAAATTGGACTGTTCTTGATTTTGAATACGCTCCTAGCCACAGCTCAATGCTTTATTTATCGACATCGATTGCTGTTACCGGAAGATCATTGGTTGAGGTATTCATCCAAAGATTCCTTTATTCTTTTGTTTTAATAAGCTTTTCTTTTAGATTTTCATTGCGCAATTGGGTCCTCATTCTAGTTTTTCATTATTTTCTTTTTCTATTTATTGGTTCTATCTCTATTCTTCGATTACCGCTTGAACATCCACCAAATGCACAAGGATTGGAGAAGTTGTTGGAAGTAAATACTCAAAAAGAACTAATCCACAAAGATTTAAACAAGTATTAGTATTTATAACATTAAGAGTATCTGGCAAACGTGCCAAAAACTGAGCGAGCACTGTAGTCTATCGTTCAATTCTAGGATTACCCAGAATATTCATTCCTCGGAACTGACGTCAATGCCTGGATTGCTTACATTTATCAACCAATCTTCCCACCAATTCTCAATTTCTCTTCGGTACTTGCGAATGAAATTCTTATCTCTGTTGTTGCAACAGAATTGCTATTCTTTGTGAGTTCTTTATTTCCACACATCAATCAAATCCTTTAGTCAATTTCCTTCGTGATTCATTCAATTTATCTCCTTGAAAGTCCATTGATTCATATGAGTGCAAAGACAAAACAATTACATAAAAAGCTCGTCTATTCTTTGTTTGTGCAGGTGCGTTTAACAAAAAGAACAAATAAACTCGATTGTTTCCAGATAATGATCCCATTTTTCTCTATAACTGGCCCATTGGTCTTATTTGTATTTTTAGCAGTAACAGGCAAAATTTTCGACCAAATGTGGTTAAATGGAAGTGTTACTCTTGGAAGCAGTCACGCCACTCTGTCATCAATTTTGATTTGTGCTTCCACTGAACCGTATCGAGTCTATATTTTGGATGAAATCAAACGAATTCTGAAGTGAGACTCAATTGACAACAAAGAGAAAGCTTTCTTTAGAAAATCATCGCTGAGTCGTCTCCAAATCGTTTCTCATCCAAATTCAAGAATTCTCTTTCGACATTCAATTCATAGCGGACCGCAGTTTAGCGGGCCAGTTTGATGTCAATAAATTCCTGATTTTACTCAATTTTACTGCACAGTACAAAATACAGAAGTGGAAAGAATTTGATAATGGCCATAACTTGGTACCTATGAGTTTTAGCCCGCGCAATAAGCTAGTCTAATATCGCGATTGAAGGTAGGCGGCCATCTATCGGGAGGATGGAAAGGATGTGCGACGTTCAAAATCATCACTGGATTGACATGCAGCAGGCTCGGTATCATCTTTGAGAAGAGCGGCGCAACTTCTTGGGGCTCTTCGGATCGGTAGATGTAGAAGTAGAGTTGCAGTATCTCGCAACAACCTCAAACTTGGGTAATTAATTAAATTATTATAAAAAGAATAAAAATCACCCGGCTAGAGTGATTTGATGGGTTTACACATTTTTGGAGATGCGGGAATGCTTGGAAAAAACAAGATCGTCACTCATCAGACACCTGAGCACAGTCTAGATCGATTGAGTTTTAATTGCAGATAAATTTAAAAACAGAATAAAAAGCACAAAAAACAAAAAAATAAGTTGTTAATCTATAATTCTTCCTCTTGCTCACTTTCATCTTCGCTCAAGTACAGCAGTTCCTCAAATCGGCTTCCTATCTTATCAATTTCCAGCGCATCTTCACCAGAAGTGACCGGATCTCCTCCACCGTAAGACGTCTTCAGCGCTTTGATTGACACAATTAGATTTTTTTCCATTTGTGGTCGATTGTGGTTTTCTTTTTTTTTCGTAGCATAAGCTCCCTTGGCTTTCGAAAAACAACAGTAGCTAGATTCTATTTGGCGCCCTCCTGCCATCTCGGCTTGAATCTTTGTATTATGATCCAAAACTGCCAGCATAGTCCGATATTCAAATCCTTTTCGACAAAAATATTTTCTTTTCGGACGATACTTGATGCAGAGTGAATGAAAGTTTTCAACATAGGATGTAATATTATCAATCCTCATTCGTTCAAAGTCGCTTATGAAGCAAGTCTTTGCTGCAATTTCCAGAAGCATTGAATATATCGTAGAAGTGGAAAGAATTGGGTCATGAGAAGATTGATAGTTCAAGGGGTGTGAGCACTCTGTCGTTGCGATAAAATTTTCCGTGTTGAATTTTGTACCCAATTTTATCTCCAGGGGATAAACAAGAAGTTTAGCGAATGAGTCATTCGCCCAGTTGTGGATGCCTTGGATATGGAAAAAGAATAAGAAAACCTTTTCCACACATTGTTTCGGATTAGCTTCAAATAGTTCAACGGTGTAGCAATGTACAAGAAAACGACGTGATAAGTCTCTCATTTGCTTTTTCTCTTGATCCCCTTTTAATTTTCTCGTTGCTGCCATACACTCTTTCTTCAATGAACCCAATCGGTGCCAAGGATCAAAATAGACCTTGAATTTGCGTTTTTAGAGGTAAGATACAATCTGATTATTTTTATCTGTTGTGATACTAGCAATATCCGCCTTTGCCTCGATGAAACAAATTGACCGTTTCACTCCTTCTAATTCCATTGCACCGCTTTTGTTTCCAGTTTCACTTTTGTGAACAATAGCAAAATCTATTACTTGCTTGGTTTCGATTTCGATAGCCGTAACAGCACAAAATTCCGCTGAATATCCTGAAGAATCGAATTGGCCATCCATTGCAATTCCAATAGCCCCTTTCCGAAAACGCTCAAAGATTTCTTGTTTTTTGACCGCTCGGAAGTTTTCCACAATCTGGGCATCTTTGTAATAGTTTCTCCAATTGAGCGAATTCAACAATAACAAATGCTGGCTTTTCGATTAGCTCTTCTTCCGCCTCCATTTTGTTTAGAAATCCTAAAAATATATTTTATGATCGTATAATAAAATAGCATAGGAAATAAGCTTGCAAAAAAAGCAATCAATGGATAGGCACCTATTTGAGAAGATTACCGTAGTCAAACCGTTAGTTTACGTTCGATCAGCCAGATTTTGGTATCATTGACCGAGCCTTTTAATTCCTCATCGAATGATACAAAAAAAATTGGGCTAACTGAATGAAAATTGGAGGTTTGACTACGGTAGTTTTCTCAAATAGGTGTCTTTTAGAAAACGCATTACTCGAGAGGAACACACTCTAATGGATAGCTTAGAGTGTTTTGATAGCCTTTTGCATTATCTAAACATAAAATCTTCATTTGGAAAAAGGCATCTAGAGATGTTAAAAAACAAAAGTGTAGATGGAAAGTCTAAAGAAAACAAAAACAAAAAATAATGCCTGACTTTTGCTTTGCTTCCGCACTCACCTTGTAGATGAACTATGCGAGCCTTACAGCGTCTCCAAAAATTTGTAAACCCATCAAATCACTCTAGCCGGGTGATTTTTATTCTTTTTATAATAAAATCAGCGATATTAAAATAAAAAAAAACAGGTGGTTGCCGTAAAAAAAGTTTTATGGTCCCCCGGCCGCGATTAATAAACTATCACAGGATATAGCCAGAAGTACCACAAACTTTTTAGGTCTTACTGACTATTGTTTGTTTTGCGAAAAGCTGGCTTCCTGTCCTTACAACTCAAAGATAAAGTCTGATTTACTGTGCAAGAAAAGACTCTATCGTACATACGAAGTGTACAATAAAGTCTTTAAAGCAATCAACAGCGACAGTAACGGTATTGAGCTGGATTGGGTATGTCAATTTCAATCTGACATTCCTATAGCTCTGACGTCAATCTGTTCCCAAAAATCGACATTCGAAAACAATTCGAAAATCTGCCTTTTCAAATAGCATCTGCTGATCAGTCACCTGCCTTCATTTCATTTCGATTCGCCGTACAAACTTTCCCCTTAGACTTCTCGGCTTTACTTTTAATCTCAGCCATCGATTTCTTTCGGAATGGTGAACAAAACTGTTCCTGAATATCCATTCCTTTATATCCGCACCATGAATATCACTGGAATTTTCGGTGGATCGATCAATTTTTTCACTATCTACTTAATCGTTTGGGTTTCACCGAAAACGATGAAAAATTATCGATATTTCATTTTGTTTTATCAAGTAAGTGCTTTGGGAATCTTTATTATGGAAAAAAGGCTATTTCAGATCTCCTCAACTCTTTTTGAACTACTTCTCCACTCTGTGACAATGGAATTTTATTTTCCGGCTCTCAGCGGTCGAATGTATGGATTTTTATATGAAATATTTCATATCGATGCAACAGTACTATTTGTGAGTGAATCAAAGCAATCAATAAGAAGGTAATTTCAGGAAATTGGACTGTTCTTGATTTTGAATGGGATCCTAGCCACAGTTCAATGCTTTATTTATCGACATCGACTGGTGTTACCGAAAGATCATTGGTTGAGGTATTCATCCAAAAATTTCTTTATTCTTTTCTTTAAATGAACTTTTCTTTCAGATTTTCATTGCACAATTGGGTCCTCATTTTAGCTTTTCATTATTTTTTTTTTCTATTTATTGGTTTTATCTGTATTCTTCGATTACCCCTTGAACACCCACCAAATGCACAAGGATTGGAGAAATTGTTGGAAGTAAATACTCAAAAAGAACTGATCCACAAAGATTTAAACAAGTATTAGTATTTATAACATTAAGAGTATCTGGCAAACGTGCCAAAAACCGAGCAAGTACTGTAGTCTATCGTTTAATTCTAGGATTACCCAGAATATTCATTCCTCGGAACTGACGTCAATGCCTGGATTGCTTACATTTATCAACCAATCTTCCCACCAATTCTCAATTTCTCTTCAGTACTTGCAATTGAAATTCTTGTCCCTGTTATTGCAACAGAATGGCTATTATTTGTGAGTTCTTTATTTCCACACATCAATCAAATCCTTTAGTCAATTTCCTTCATGATTCATTCAATTTATCTGCTTGATAGTCCATTGATTCATATGAGTGCAAAGACAAAACAACTACATAAGAAGCTCGTCTATTCTTTGTGTGTGCAAGTGCGTTTAACAAAAAGAACAAAAAAAACTCGATTGTTTCCAGATATTGATCCCATTTTTCTCTGTAGTTGGCCCATTGGTTTTCTTTGTATTTTTAGCAGTAACAGGCAAAATTTTCGACCAAATGCACGGTTCCAATACGATTCCTATTAAGTTCCAATACGGTTCCAATACGGTTCCAATACGGTTCCTATTAGGTTCTAATATGGTTCCAATACGGTTCCATAACGGTTCCAATACGGTAACACTTCCATTCTGGTTGAATGGAAGTGTTACTCTTGGAAGCAGTCACGCCGCTCTGTCATCGATTTTGATTTGTGCTTTCACTGAACCATATCGAGTCTATATTTTAAATGGATTTAAAAGAATTTTAAAGTAAAATCCAAAACGAGAAATTTTCAAATTAAAAGCTTTTAGGAAAGCATCAGTTGGGCATCTGCAAATCGGTTCTCATTCAAATTCAAGAGCTTTAGATCGACTTCGAGCTCATATTAAACCTCGTTTGAGTAGAAGAATTTAATTTTTCCCAAACTTATGCAAATATTCAAATATTTATCACCAATTTTGCCTGTAATAATCAAAATATTTGTTCGTATCTCCCGCATAATCGATACTCGGAATGATCAATGACGAGGCGACGCTCACCGATTTGCTGAATGAAATGAATGAAAATCCTTTTAGATAAGCCTTGGTTATCAATTGCTTTAAAGTACATTTCCAAAATGAAATCTCTTACTTTGTCCTCAATAAATGCCTCCACCATTGATCGTATTTCTCCCGCCATTCTTTCACAATCCATAACACTCCAAAGGGAAATGTGGTGAATGATCTAGAGATTCATTGATTGAAAGTCTCAGAATATCTTCATAGTTTTCAGATTTTCGGCAAAGCTTTTAACACTTACAAAGTTAACATCAAATCCACTCCAATCATCATCACTTGACCGATTATCGAATCGGATTCAAATGCTGTGAAAGCAATGCCGCCAGTGATTGAACCAAATGTCTCACTTATGATGGTGATGATGAGAAAACGACGGAGAATCTGAATGGGAGATCTGCTTCTGATATGGAATTTTTCAAGTTTAAGTTGGAAAGTTTTCTTGCCTACTCACCACAAACACTCGCATATTCTCTTTGATTTGATATCGAACGGATAAATCATAAGGTCGATGACCGAAACGGGGAGTTAAACTCTCGACTCGTTCATGTTGTTGGACTCGATCCAACCATTTTAACACTTTTGAATTATAGGTGAATAAGAAGGCACAAAGCTGAAAAAGAAAGGATTCAGATCTGAAAATTGTCAGACATTTGAATTGGCTGTACTTTAAACGAAAGTACGAAAAGAAACGAGACTTTCTGGGCAAAACACAATTATACTGTGTTTTCCTATGTTATTGACCAACTCTAAATGGACTTTAGATCTCGTGGACCGTGAGTTCCTTTCCCAATTTCCTCATTTCCATTCCCTTCCTTTCAAAATGTACTAGAAACTTCTTTTTCCCCATATTTCCCCTCATTTCACTCACCATTCCCGACAATAAAATGGCGCCCAATAATGAGATCACGACACCGATCACTGTTCTCAACATATCGTAGGCAATTGCTAAATAAAGCATTACAGATCACTCTTTGTGATGACGTAATTCCAAGAACTGGGGTATGTCCTCAGTGTTTCCAATTTGATTAGAGTCAATGATGCAAGTATTTCAAGCTTTGTTAGAGTTTGTGGTTACGATTACGATTAGTTTACGATTACATTAGATTACAGTTAGATTATGTTTTGTGCTTTTGTTTCTTACTTTTCTTGAATTTTAACAAACCAATGCAACTGAAGGTGGAGAGTGTGAGAAAGATGAGAACTGAGCTTAGCATTATTGAAAGAGAGATATAGGTGCGAGGCGACTTTTCATAGTCCCAGAGGTAGATCGTGGCCATGAGTCTGAAATTGGTTCAAGGGTCTAAAGAGATCTCTTTGGCAAAAGGTTTCGTTGACATGTTTCGCTCAAAACTGTGAACCACCGCGATATGGGCGAGAATTACTTGCTCGCAAAAGTAACCGGATGACTTGGTGGATAGTATCGCGCTACTACTCCCTGGTTCGAATCCTCTATGAACTTTTTTATTTTTTAGGACACTAAATCAAATCTTTAGGTCCTCTAAAGGTCTATAAACATATCGAAAACCAAAAGCTAAAGCAAACTATTTGACCAACCTTTCCAGAGTGATCAAAGGCACAATTGAGGCGAGAAAGAGCAATGTATAACAACGAATTAAACCAATAATAAATATCACTGTATCACAAAAGGTTACAGCTAAAAGAAATGATTAACGATTTAAAGTAAGAACAAACCATCCCCGAGAACAGCTTGACCTTCATAAAATAAAAGAACGAGTCGGAGAAGTTGATTGAAAAATAAATGAAGTGAGACAAATTCGAAGATTCGACGCAAATTGATGTGAAATCGACCGGATGTGTGAAGGATTTTGAAGAATGGAACATAGATTATGAAAGAGATAAAAATCGAGAGAGCTTCAATGATACGAACAACTTCCCAGATACGACAAAGGACAGTGTATTCCTGAAATCATTTCATTACCAAGCCTATCTACACTTCTTTATAAAACTTTAGTTGCCAAGAAGCTCTTTCTCACTCACCGAAACCATCTCCATATCAACGAAAATTGGCACATAAGCCTGATATGTTGAATTAAACAAATAGAGAAAAATAATCATTTTCAGATATAAAGCTATTGAATATCCATTAGTTGATGAAATGAATGATTTCTTGATTCGAAAGTTTCCTCTTTTCCCCTCGTTTTTCTCCAAACACGTGCTAAATGGGATAACGAATTTTACGAAGGAAATCGATGCGATGAATTGGATTTCATTTTATTTCATTTCGGACCATTTCATACCCAATCTTTTCTTTTTCTTTTTCTTACTGATCCATTAAACTTTAATCACCTAGTTTTACGGAATAAATGATCAAAAAACAAATGGTCACTGAAGAAATGTTTCATTGGATACGAGAGTATGACACTCACTCAAAAATCAGTTTAGCTTTTTTCAATCAAAAAAAGCACAATGAATATTGTGTGATGTTGAACAAGGTGTTTTTTAAAAGGTGACTCCAGAAAAGCTACAGTACTCTTTAAAAAAGCGGACGATCTCTGATAAGCTTTGTCTAGGACTTCGGTAGCTTTTCCACTTTTTAAAATGCTTTTAATGGAGAGGATACAAAGCACACAACCGATTAAATTCCAGTATACAGTCAAATATAAAACCTACCGTAAATACTGTAATTGGACCCCATGGGGTACTATTTTTTCCCTCCACCTCTAGGGTGGGGCACTATTAGACGGGTGGGGTCCAATTACAGTATTTACGGTACGAGTACTCACTTTAAACAAAGTTCTAGAGGCTATAAACCATGAAGAAAATTGGCAGCTAAGTTGTCATGAATGGTAACTTTATGGTTACTTCGAAATATAGCACTTACCGGTCTCACAATCATACGAAAAATGTCCCAGTTTAGTCTGATTTCGAAAAGAAAAGTATGACGTTCCATGAGTCTCGAAAATTTCCGTGTGACACAAATTATTCTTTGTGCCTTTCTCTTCAACCACAACTTTAAATGTTCAAAGTTCTTTTCAATTGAATGTTGCATAAAATGTACAACTTTTATTGCCTATAAACAATCAATTTTTCGTAGAGTTCTCAACTTTTTGTAGAATCAAAGCTGGATGTTGTTTTGATGGATGATTTGTTTTTCTTCCATCAGTCTCATTCAATACAAAACTCAAGGGAATTCCCGATGTGAAAATCGTTTCTTTATTTCCATTCTCATTCTCTTCTGTGTAGACGACACCGAGGATTTTGAAGCCTAGAGATAATTTTATTTTTAAGAACTGCAATCTACAAGTAAATTTGGTGCCTCTTGCCTCTCAAAATCCAGGGTAATCGAACTGTTCCATAAACTCTCCGAGCGTTCCAATAAAGCTCATCAACACCTGAAGCGAAGATTTGATCTTTTAGGTTGGACTTTTCGGCATTTGTATTTAGACAAACCAATTGGCAATCCAAGTATGACAATTCCTCCCTCTTTCAATAAACATCTCATCTTGGTGATTTCCCGGAGATCACCCCATGGATCGATTGGATCACCGAATCTGGAATTGGATTGAGATTGGATTGAGTTTGGATTGAGATTGGATTAAGATTGGATTGTTAGATCTTCTTCGAATTAAGTCAAACATTAAGTTAATACTTTAAATGAAACTAACCTTCCAAGACCAGCGTGTTGAATCGAAGAAAATGAGGCGATAAAGTCGAAAGTCTCCGAATAACTGAAAGTTTTTTAGTTAGGCCAATCCATTCCTATCCATTTCAATCCATTCCAATCCATTCCAACCCATTCCTATCCATTCCAATCCAATCCTATCAATTCCTATCCATTTCAATCCATTCCCAAAAACCCACTTTGCCCATTGATTCGCCAAATCGCGTGGATGAATGTAGGAAAGATTCTGAGAAGTCTGAAAATTTTGATAGCTAATTATAATCTTGAACTAAACTTTGAAAGCCTTGAAAGCCTATCCGGCGTAATCTTGTGGATCATTTCCTCACCTTTTCCTCAATCTCCTGTTGCTCCACCGTCAAAACAGAAGTGGCGCCGTGCCTCAAAGCAAAAACTTCGATCTAGAAGTAAAATTTGCATTTAAAAGAGTTAGCGTATAAAGTTCATAACACGTTTATGTATAAGAACTGCAATTTAAACTCACCCATGGATTCGTGGCTCCAAAAACGGCGCCACTCTTATTCTGAATGAATGAATGGAATCGATCCATCGCCTCGTAGACAATATCTCAAATTTTTAGCTTTTTTAGCTGTTTTATTATATATTCTCTATAAATGAATCTATTTTACCTATTATATTTTATCTATTCCAAGTCTCACCCCCATATCCAACATGATGCGCTCTTTCAATCACTTCATCTCTTGTCATCATCATTTGTGCATCGATATCATCCCAGAGCATCTTTATCGGCACCGCTTTCTCGTTTACATATCTAGAAATATTCAGTCAAGAAAAACCTTCATAAAGCTTACTCTTGCTTGAGCGGGATTCTTCCATAAAGTGTAAACTCAGCTAATTTCTCCCTTGGCGGCTCTACAAGTGGGATCTCTGGAGTCTGTGATTGAGCAATTGTCGTCCAATTGTTCCAGACCTAGTAAAACTAGTTGCCTTTTAAAACTAGTTGTCTTCTAAAACTGTGCAAAGTTTCCACTCACTTGTTCACATGTCGATCCAACGAGCGTCTCGGTGAACTTCTCATCGAAATTTGACTCAGGAACATAATATAGATGAGATATTTCTCTCCTCTCCTAGTTTTTCATAACTTTAAACAAATTTTAAAACCTACAAAGTCCTCCGTTTCTATATAATCGTTTGAAATTCTCTCTTGTGGAATCACTTCCTCGGGCATTGGATAATCGTGTGGAAGAGGGATCCCCTCAATGCTAATAGAAAATCAAATTTTGCTTTGAACTTTAAGCTCTTACATCTTACGAATTAGATGATTGATCTCCGGATTCTCATATTCATCAGTTGAGAATTTCTCTGGCAACATCTCTTCATCTGTCATCATGTAATCAGCTGGAAGTGGGAGATCTTCAAGACTATCCGGTGGAGGGGATCTTCCATTTGGACTAAACTTTGGACTAAACCATTTGGACCATTTGGACTAAACAGATAATTAAACGAACTTCAATCCTTTAAGACTTTTTGGTGGTTTTGTATAGAAGGGACGGGCGATCAAGAACACGGAAAGAATCAAACTGAAAGAGTTCTTAAATGGAAAACTCTGCCTACAAGTGTTAATTTTGATTTCACCTTTTCAAATTGAAAATCTTGTACCCACCTGACTGCAGCCACAAGAATGACTCGTCTCGTCGGAATCGGTATCATTTGAAGCCTTTCTTTATTGTCGCTTTCCGTATGTACCACGAGAAGTTCTTTCTCCGTTCGATTTCCCTCTTCTCTTTTCCATAAAGAGAGTGGTGGAGAAGGTAAAAGAAAAGGATTGAGTCTAGGAATTTTCACTTTTTTCGGTTAATCGATCCTCCGAATGTCCCGAAAGTGTTGTACACTGAAACATTGGATTTCGTGTGGTTTAGATCGAAATTTTCGATCTTCCACATGGAAAACGTCAATGAAATAAGAAAGAAACTTGAAACTGACCTGGGAGATCCGAAAAGAGATTAAACAATGAAAAAATGAATGGAAACAAGGGATTTGGATTTGCCGTTACTCAAGTATTTTCTTATGTATTGTGCAAGAAGTTTCGTTTCACTTTCTTGAAAACAAATCAGGCTCTGAATGAGCATAAAGTTCGAGATTTTCCTATAGATTGTATCTTAAAGCAATAGAATGACACTCAATGAAATAAAAAAAGCAATAATGACACTCAATGACATAAAAAAAAGTTGAACTTCATTCAATAAACTAAATATTTGAGCAATAAGCAGAAGAATAGGGAAAGAATGAGAATAAGAGATACTAGGATGACTAAAGTGTTCATTCCTTGGCTAAACTAATAAAAATCTATTTGAACAGTTAGATATTTTTAGTTTTTAGCTTTCAGTAGAAGTTTTACATACTCCTTTGGCTCAAACTATCAGCTTTTCTTTCATAAAGAGCCCCTCTCAACTCCCGTCGGCCAGTTACAATGTGGTCGAGCGGATAACACATCGGTTTCTCGGTCGCACGACCCGGGTTCGATCCCCGATAGGAGCATTTGAGTTGGTCTTTCCGTTCTCCAAGAACCTTGGCCAAATTAATGTCTCCGAGAGTGAATGTGGTGGTTTCCACGATGGGTATCCTGTATGGTACGCGCATCACTAAGAACACCAGACATTTTCTTTTGCAAAGGTGAACTGAATGAACTAAAGTTATGGCGAATTTGAAGAAATAGACTTTACTATGAACTTTCTGGGCACATCTCTTGAACTCTCTTGAATCCTCAACTAGTTAGCTAAATGTTTTTGACTCATCTCTGTTTTCCCAACATTTTCCAAAAAAGCTGTGCTTCTAGAAAATACAGCCAACTTTACTACTTAAATCTAGCAATCAGAGCCAGGAAATGCTTCTTTTTTAAGAATTTCTTCTTTGCTCTATTACCTGCCTTCCATTGAGCCATTTTGATTCATTTTCTTCAAATCACAATCAACAACACTCCCATCCTCTTGACAGTCTCTCTTTCTCTTTTCCTCTTCAAATTTCCTTTTCTTCTCTCATCTTTTTGACAATCAGATTAGATGTGCTCACTCTTTTTCGAAGAATCAACAAAAAGGACACTTTTTTCATGCATCAATCACTTTTATATAACTTTTGTTTTTGACTTTTAACTGTTAAACTTTTTAGAATCTTATGTATGAAACGATTCTCGATCCAGAGAAATTAGCTGCAGATGTTGTGGATACGGGTGAGTGGATAAACTTCTAAATAAGCCAATGAGATAATAGAATCATTTGAAGTGTAATTGAATGTTTAGTCCGAGCCGGCACACAAGCCCCATTATCAGACTGTGTGAAGACAGCGAGAATCGTTTTTGAGACTCTTCTTCAACATACAAAGTATTAACAATGAAATTATTTCATCTAAAATCCAATTTCAGTGATGATGTTCTTCGAAAAGTCTCCGGAATTCTAGTCAACTTTCAACCGAATTTGTTGGAATGCTTTGATGCGAGATTATTGGGAACTTTGAGGGACCGGTTAGATGATTGGTTATCGGAAAAGGCCGAGGTTTGTTTGGGAAAAGGGTTTTGATTTTAGATTGATTGAAAAGTGATTTAGCTGAGCTATTCGATCTCACAACAAGATGATGCATACATTGATGATCTCAATACTTTCTCGAACGTTGCGGAGAAAACGGATCCCCGAATCCCACAAGCGGTGATTGCCGTGAATGATTATGAATTTCTGTATAAACTCAACAATCTTTACATTATGGTGAGTTTTAAAAAGTACTGATATTGATTGACATAATTGTGCGAAAATCAGCTGCAAAAACGCGAGACTTGCGACATCTCGCTTAAAAGGCTTCTCTCGCCAGTCGAGCCGGCGTGTGGGGGTAGCGCAGTGGGTAAGAGGCTCGGATACAAGTTGGGCTGCCTCCTTTGTCCTTGAGTTCGGGTCTTCCCCTGGCAAATCTTTCTTTTTTTTTACCTTTAACGAAACTAATTAACTTTGTGGGATATAGCAATCCTAATATACTAACTGAAGTAGTGATTATTTTCCAGGATCAAAGTCAAGAAGTGAGATTGGCGTCAATTCGTTTATTATCTACTTTGGCCTCATTTCTCCCAACTGTCATTTGTTGTTTGATTGAGACAAAGCTTCCAATGGTTTTAGGTACATTTTTACTGTTTCCAAAGTAAACCATTGAATGTTTAGCTCCTGCCATCACAAGCTCTAGATACTCGAAAGAAGAGAAATCACTGTGCATCAAATTGTTGGATATGATGGCGATGAGTGGACAAGAGTTCCCATTGCATCACTTGAGTAAGGATGTTCAATAAAAAAAAGACTTTTCAACTCAAATTTTTGTGGTGATCCTGTAGATTAAGTAGAGCGAATCGAATCTCTAATCCAGGCTGTTTCAATGATGTTTTCTTCTCGAAACTCTCAAATCTCCACGATGACAAATCAGCAATCCAACTCTTCGCAAACATTTATGCAAACACTCCACAAGAAGTTAAGGTTAGTAAACAAGTTCTTGTCTAGAGTTTAAAGTATCCAAATTTGTTTTTAAAAGAAACCCTTTCAGGACTTTGCCTTAACCACTCTCCGATCAAATAAAAATGCGAATTTTGGGCAACATCTCATCGATTTTGCAAATCTAAAAGGCGGCCTTCCATCAATAACATTGTTGAAAGAATTATTGTCATCAAGTCCAGAAGAAGTTCGAAATTTTTCAGTATAAAGCATCTTATTAGTCTAGGTAGATGATCTCTTTTATCGAAATGATCTAACCGTTGCATCAACAGTCGTCAGTCGAGAGTTGTTGAATAGTGAAAAGAGAGAGGTTTCTTTTAGCTTGATAATCAGTGCAATTTAGATTTCAAATTAAAATCATATTCAGGTCCGTGTAAAGTGTTTGGAATGCATTGGAGCGTTGGCCGATCTCGGTCTCAATGATTATTCAATGAGAGACGCCGTCGAGAATTGTGATGTAGTGGGAGAAGAGGAATTGATTGAAGAAATAAAACAAAAGTTGAATCAATAGGGAGATGAGGAAAGTACTGATGAACCTAATAATTAAGTTAATAATTGAAATAAATGTCTTAGAATAAATAAATATCTTAGAATTGAGATCTGAATCTTTTTAGATTTGCATAGAAGTTGGTATACTTTTGAGCTTTCTGACAAACTGGATTCTTTTTAAAGATAGAAATCATTGTGCCAGAAAGTTGCGATTAAGTGAGCACAGAGTACAAGCTAAACTTTACCTTATCTTCAGCTTTATTTATCTTATTGTCTTGTTGTTTCGTTCTTTACTTTTCTTTACTCAAATTGTGATCCTTTTCTAGTTTTCGAGATTCTACCGGTATTTTTATTGACGTTGTTGTGAAATAAAATAAAAATTGTGCCATTTAAAGAATAAAATTTATTTTCTGATCTAAACGGAAACAAATTTGAAGGATTAGTCCGAGAACTCATCAAGCATTCCACAGTAATCGTGGAGAACACTGGAATTTCGCAATAAACCTCTCAATAAACCTCTTGACTTGTTTGACTAACATTAGAATAAGATCTTTGAGTTATTTCAAGCTGCTGACTCAGTGGATGCAATTCTCATCTCCTTTTCTCACCTAATTCCCGCTTTCTCAGCACACGAGCACACATCACCGAGCTCTTTAGCCCAATCGATTTTCGATCCACAAACATCAATCGTTTTGTTGACGGCTTTGTCCGTGATATCGAGAGTGCATCTAAATGAATGTAGAATAGAAATCAAAGTTGAGAAACTAACCCAATTTGTTCATGGCAAAATCCGTCTGAATTCTTTACATTCATGAAACAATTCTTGAAACACATGAAATAAGATTTCGTAGCGGTGGCTAGTTTCTATAATTTTTGATTTACAATAAAGCCAATGCGAAATCACATCAGTATCCTTTGATTTAATTGCTCGAAGGATTGTCTGTGCTCGATGATCAACATCTTCTTCCACTCTGAAAGTTTTCGTGTCCAGAACTTGTACTGATTGTGGGACATTGTACTAACTTTAGTCAAGGGTTATCGGACATTTGATACCCCTATTGACAATCTAACTTTAATCCCAAATATCTTGGACTTGGGATGTTCAATTGAAATACTTTTGATACCAATCGACAGAAAGACTTGCATCTAATGATATCAAGAAATATTTCAATTAAAAACCCCAACACCAAGAAATTTGAGCTCAAAGTTAGATTGTCAATAGGGGTATCAAATGTTGGATAACCCTTGGCTACTACTAAAGTACTGACAAGTTCATTCCTAACTTTCCCATAGATTCTTATTCAAGTCTAATTCTTGCACAAAGAACTCACTTGGAAAGGAAAGTGTTCAAATCAATATTTGGTGCCTTCTCGGAATTCTTTTTCTCAGAACAGCTAAATTTTGAAAGTTTTGATTCATTTATCAAACTTACGCATCCAAATTTTCTTTCATACAAGGAATCACTTGATCTAGAAGTTTTTCTTTCTCTAAAAGGCAGCTTTTAAGGAGCTCGGGTTTCTCTAAAAGTTTCAGCTTCGCGAATTCGTTGTAACATGGAGTAAAACATTGATTGGCTTGTTTTCGAGCTTTGTCAATGCATTGATCCAATTCCTGTAAAAAAGAAGAGTTAGTGCTTGTCTTGATGACGGTTTAGTACTCTTACCTTGCATGTGCAAACTCTTATTTTCTCACTCTTTGGCCGAGATTCGTGAAGTGCCTTGACAGCTTCGTCTTTTACCTAAATCATTGAAAATTTCAGACTTTAAAAGCTTCGTCTTTCACCATTTGACTGAAAATTTAAAGAAAAAGAAAAAATGAATGACAAACCAATGGACAAGATTGTTTTCCTTTACCTTAAGCACCATCAAAAACTCTTTGTTGTCGCGGGCACAGCTTGTATTCAAACAGTTCACATTCTTTACAAAAATTTAGAAGATTTTTTATAGTAATGTTTACAGGAAAACATTCTTTGATATTCTTTGACATTCTTTGACATTTCTTTGTAAATCTGCTTACCGTAAATACTGTAATAGTACCCCACCCTCCTAATAACGGTGCGGAGTGTTGCCTAGTCTAGCTTTGAACGCATTTTTCTCGACACTGTTTTATGCTACAATGCGCACTTAGTTATCAAAAAATAGCCCTGAATTTCAGCTATTTTTTGATACCAAAGACGCATTTTTTGAATGTACGGGCGCTTTGGAAAAAAGGAAATACTAAAAAACTTTTGCGACTACGCGACTGTACGAGGAGGGTGGGGTACTATTACAGTATTTACGGTAGTTAGAAAGAAATGTACCTCTTCTTTAACCGTATCCTCAGCAGCTTCTTTGTTTAGAGCAAAAGCGAGCACGAAAAAGGCACCAAAATAAATCAGAAATTTCATTTTCAGCAGATTTTCAGATTTCTATCAACTCTTGTCCTTTTATACCCAAAAGTTTCAGTTCTTTTGTCAGCAATTTTTCCACGAAACCCAGATCAGACAAATAAACAAAACCTTCAAATTCTTTTAGAGAATCTCTTTTTTTACACGTATTTTCCTTGGAAATCATTTGTTTTTCGACCTTAAATGGCTGATTTGTTGTTGTTTTTCTTCACTGTTTTGTCTGCAAGTTTTTTTCGCTCATTTTACCATTGCCCTATACTTTGAGATCTAGTTTTGTTTATGATTTTGAAAGAAATCAACAAGATTTTGAGATTTTGGGATAGTTAAATGAAAAAAGATCTGAAATCTAAGATTTGAAAGAATTTCTATCAATTTTCCATTATCTAAGCTGTCATTTCGGGGTTGGGGCAAATGCGACCTTTTTTTTGCGCACCTGGACATTTGCACACCTTTTTTTTGCTGGAAAAGGCCTTAGGAAAGGTCGTAGAGCTTCAAAAATGTTCTCATATAACACGTTAACTGACGCTGACACGTCAAATTTGGGCTAAAAGGCAAAAACTACGCAACTTAACGCTTTTCCGCAGTTTTTGCCTTTTAGCCCAAATTTGACGTGTCAGCGTGGTTTAATTTGAATTCGAAATTCGGAATCTACGCATACGATTCCGTTATGTGAAAACATTTTTGAAGCTCTACGACCTTTCCTAAGGCCTTTTCCAACAAAAAAAAAGCTGCGCAAATGTCCAGGTGCGCAAAAAAAGGTCGCATTTGTCCCACCCCCGTCATTTCAGCCATAAAATCCTCTAAATTCTACTCGATTTCACCTTGAGCTCGTATTTTTGGTTTAGTTATCTCAAACCGGTTTTCCTTGCCGAGAAGTGAAAAGTTCAAAGGAGAAAATCTGAAAAAACGATCGGATTGTCGTTTTTTTTTCTGGAAATACGCGCTTTTAAAAAAAAAAGATTTCAACAAAAATTTGCACACTTGTGAATTGTGGAAAACAAGTAAAAAGATCAAGAGAGAAAAAAGGAAAAAAGAAATGTTCACTTTGGTGAAACCACTGAAAACGTTTCCCCAATTTTCACCCAAATCATCATTTCCTTTTTGTTTTTGGGAAAGCTTTGTCTCAAGGAGGAGAATTATCATTTCTGTTGAGTCGAGAGCTTGTTTTCATTGATTTTCTTCTTTGAATGGTAGAGAACTTGACTTATTTTGCTAATTTAGGTAAATAAAGGTAAATCGTTTCAAAATAAACTTAATTTGTTTACTGCTTTTTCTTTTGTTACTTTTCTTTGTCTCCAAAAAGATTTCCGAAACTTTAGACCCTTCCAAATCCTCTCATTCTCATGGCTATAGTGAATAATTGCGTTTGTTTAAAAGCAGATCCTTTCAAATCCCATTCATACAATGTTTTTCTATTACCAGTTGCTAAAATCAATGCAAATTATTGTAGAGAATCAACTCAAACTGAGATGGGAGATTACCGACATGATAGGGAAAAGTATCGGCTATTTTGTGGATTTCTGCATATAAAGGTTGAGATTTGAGGACAGAATATTTAGCTTGAGCTTGAGCTTTAGCTTGAGCTTTAGCTTGAGCTTTAGCTTGAGCTTTAGCTTGAGCTTTAGCTTGAGCTTTAGCTTGAGCTTTAGCTTGAGCTTTAGCTTGAGCTTTAGCCTGAGCTTTAGCTTGAGCTTTAGCTTGAGCTTTAGCTTGAGCTTTAGCCTGAGCCTTAGCTTGAGCTTTAGCCTGAGCTTTAGCTTGAGCTTTAGCCTGAGCTTTAGCCTGAGCTTTAGCTTGAGCTTTAGCTTGAGCTTTAGCTTGAGCTTTAGCTTGAGCTTTAGCTTGAGCTTTAGCTTGAGCTTTAGCTTGAGCTTTAGCTTGAGCTTTAGCTTGAGCTTTAGCTTGAGCTTTAGCTTGAGCTTTAGCTTGAGCTTTAGCTTGAGCTTTAGCTTGAGCTTTCCAAAATTCTTAACCGCATTTCTAGACAGCCACGTGGATCATCTTGGGATTGGGCGTGATTTCGCTGATATGGCAACTCTTCCGAAGCAACTATCAACAAACGAAATTCGGTCATTTCACTTTTATGCATTCGATTGATGTAAGTTCGATGGAAAGTAGCAGAGTTGAGAGTTCACATCGAAAAGTTCAGTTCACCGAGGTGATCATGATGACTTTCGCATTGACAATGCTTTTGTGTGGATTGATCGCCGAACGACAATCATTTTTGGTCCCATATTTGGTTGTACAGGTTTGAAAGAAGATTCTCTACAAGATTCGAATTTTACTCAAATCCAAGGTCGTCAAAGTGATCGGCTATTTGATTTTCATTGTCACCTACGTTTTGGACAAGTTTTTCAACATTTTAGATGACAAAGAGAAGAGAGATTTGTGAGCATTTCAGAGTTTTCCAAAATTTTCAATCTAATCTTTTAGATTCTCAAAGAAAAATGTCACAATGACCTCATCGGAAGAAATAGACGAAGAAGAGGTCGAAGAATGGATTCATCAGAATCCCGGTTTGCCAAAGAATTAGTTGATGAATTGACTTACAGTAGTTAGCCTTCAGATATACCCGTGTAAACACCGCTTCGATTTCCATTTAAGATTACAAATTTAGATCTAAAAGTAGTCCCAAAGTAAAGAAAAAACATGAAACAACAACAGAAAAAGAACCAATTTCGCTAAACTACTAATCACTTTGCTTGTCTCGCCTGAATACCTTTTTCTTCTCCAAGTTTGTTTTATATTGTCAATTTGTTTATTTCTACACTGTTAAATCAGTGCTAAATCAGTTGAATCATCGCTTTCATCCTGTTTCAAACAAATCTTGGTCGATTTTCCTCAAATCCACATTGCAATCACTTTGCTAGTCTCGTCTGAATACCTTTTTCTTCTCCAAGCTTATTATATATTGTCAATTTGTTTATTTCTACACTGTTAAATCAGATGAATTATCGCTTTCATCCTGTTTCAAACAAATCTTGATCCATTTTCCTCAAATCCTTTCGCTATTTAACCCCATTATTGAATTACTCCAAAGTAACCCGTTGCGTTGAAGTAAAAGTACAAATAACGGGTCAAAATTTTGGTTAGTTAACCGAAATTTGTACAAAATAGTGCAAAAGACCGAAAGTCTTGATTGAAACACATAAAGACATAAAGACAAGAACTTTTCGGTGGAAACAACTTGATTCACTTGAAAATCTCCAGGTTGGTTCTTCGGGACGGTTCTCGGCATTAATTGTCTCTTCCTCGTCATCGCCATCATCGCCGTTTATGTCGTGATCAAGTGGGCTTTCAATATAAATGACTATTGAGTCAATCACTCAGAATCTCATTCTCGAACTTTATTCAGATGTCGAAAATACTTCAACGATCTGCACTCTCATCTTCAACGACAATCATCTTCCGTCTATGCATCAAGCACAAATCCCTATGCAACATATCAATAAAGAAAGAATAAAGAATTCAATTTTTATATTAAAAGTACAAAAGGATATGGATGTGAAGGATATGGAAAACTATAAGGTTTGTTTAAAACATTCACGACGATTCAGCCCACCGGTGGCTCAAAACAAATCCAGCCCACAACGATTATTTTTCGTTTCAACTCATTTTTAGGGACGTTTGTTATTCATTTTGCAGAAAATTCTCGATAATTTTGTACTAGTTTTCAAGAGGAGATTCAGGGCTATCGAATCACTATCATATTGGGTTGATGAATTGAAAACTGCCGGCTATTGTCATATGTGACAGTTTGAGCACTTTCTTCAAAAGAAACCCATTTTGGTGTCAATAGAAAAGTTGTAGAGAATCAAAAATGAAGCTTATAGCCAAATTTTCAGAACGATTCAAAAACTGGTTTTCAAGAAATGCGAAATTTACGAATTTTCACAAAACTTTCATTTTAAGCGAAACTACTAAGTGTATCTTTTTGGAAATTTGGCTATAAGCCTAATTTTTGATTCTCTGCAACTTCTCTATTGACACCAAAATGGGTTTCTTTTGAAGAAAGTGCTCAAACTGGGACATCTCCAGTCCTCCATTTTTGAGTCTCACACTTGTCTCACACACAAACCAAAATCCTACTACGAAAGAGGAATCCGCAAATTGCTTGTAAAATGGGCAGAAGTCGTCAATAATAATGGAAATTATTTGGAATGAATTTATGGTTTTATGTTGAATAAATTTTAGTTCAAAGTCCGGCAGTTTTCAATTCACCAACCCAATAGTTTAGTTTTTCTTTGAATTTTCACCAAAATATCAGTAAAACAGTTAACGACCCAGCGACTGCCTAAAATACTGTCGCGAATGTGTTTTTAAAAAGTTTTGTTTAGAGTGTTAAAACAGGGATTGAAGTTAGCTTTTAAAACCTGCCAAATTTTCCTGCAAACTCCTTAACTCACCTTCCTTTTGCCAATTTTTCCAAAAAAAAACAAGTTTACCCGGTAACTTCACAAAATCAGATCAAAATTCTCGTCATTTTTCTGTTTGCCGACTTTTAAACGTTTTCTTCTCATTCTCACCCCCAAATTGCATCGATTTTCGAAATAATCACAACCATCTCTCAAAGCTGAAGAATAACAACAAGAGAATTTCCAGACAAAATTAAAATCGCAATCAAAATTCTCGTAATGTTCTCAATTTTTGTTTGATGGTTGATTTGATGCCATTTGATCTTGTGAATTCCCCCCTTGCTCTGTTTACATAAACTGTGTCCCTTTCTCGCCTCCGATTCACGATAAATAATCTGAAATTCTTGTACTCCAAAACTGTGAGAGTTTTTGAAGAGCAATGTTTTCGTTAATTATTTTATTCATTGGTCTATCATTGTTCGAGTCTTTAAATGCTTGTTCTTGTCCTCAATTCAATGGAATGTGGCAATTGAAAAAGGAACCGATATACGCGATTTGTTCTAATGATTACGGTTTGTCTGATAAAGATCCTCAAGATAACCATAATTGTATAGAATTCTTCAAATCAATCCATTTATTCTTGAGATTTCAGTCACCCGAATCCGTGTGAGCAAATTAGAGAACTACACTTGTGTTCAAGATGAGATCAGAAATAGAGGATGCTATATGAAAGCTGAAGTCATTGAGGATTTCATGGTCAGTACTAACTAATCATCAAAAAATCTAGCATCAAATAAAGTCGATTTCTGAATTTATAGGCTCCATTGAAAGAAACGAATCGTCGGTCGATGAAGAATCGTTTGAAAGGCGATCTCAATTCGGCAATGTGCGGAGTGAGCCTTCCACAACCCGGAGATTATATTATGAATGGTGAGATCTTGCTGATTTTGCTGATCTTGCCCGCACGGTCAACCAGACAGACTTACCTTTTTTGTTTTTGCACAAAGTACATCCCAAAATGTCTAAAACAGGTGTTTTTGCAGCTTGGCCTGACGATGATGCTTTCCGAGAGAATGCTTGCAATTTAATGAGAGAAAGTTATAGTGAAAAAGTGAGTAATAGTTTGTACAAGTAATGACAAATTTGAAGCGATTCTGTTAGTAGATTTCTGTTTAGAGAGCCGCTGAGATTCGTGAGATTGTGAAGAAATGCCCGAAAGAGAGGAGAGATTGGAATTATTGGGTGAATAAGGGAAATGAGATGTTGAGTGGACCAAGGAATTGAAAAGGGAACTGGCTGAATAAAACCTATCAAAAAACATCAATTCCAGCAATTTCATCAGTTTCGAATAAAGAGTTACAAAATGTTTGTCTTTGTCGCTTTGTCGGCCTTTAGTCTCTCCTCTTACACTACGCTCACTTTAAGATCTTTTTCTATTAAAGTTGGAGCCATTCTCTGCAGTATCTTGTAATTATACTTGTAAGTTAAGAGTTAGTATACAATTTACGGTGAGAAAACTCTTGAAATAGCTACTATTGGGTTGGGGAGAATGAGTCGGCGCCGAAAATCAAAGAAATTTCTAAAACTTCTCGCAGACTTCGTCAAATGAAAAGCGTTTGATATCAGTAGAAAGGTTAACTAATTCTCTACAAAATGACATTTAAAAGAGAACTCAAACAGCGCCTCAACTCAACAAAGGATCATTTTTTCACAAAATCGATAAACTGTCATCTAGAGTAAACGGTTGGATCTTCCTGAAAATTTGGTAACTTATGTAATTGAGTGTGCTCTATCTTTTTTATATAAACACGAAAGGCGATTTATGTGGAAGAAACTGTTCAAGCAATGAGTCGATTTCTAATTTTCTAGTCGAGCTAATCATTTTGATTAGCTGTGTTTGGGAATCCATAAAATCCCAAAAAAAGAAAAGCTTTGTGGAATCTCTCAAAAGCCATTTTGTAAAGAAATAGTGGACCATTTTGATGAAACAAAACGTGTATTTAAAGAAGGTTTTATGGGTGCAAAAAGTTTCTTTAAATTTCGGCGCCGACTCATTCTCCCCAACCCAATAGATCGCTTCAAATCGCTTCAAATCACAGAAAGCTACTCGTAAATGAGTCAATTTCTATTCAAGAAATCTACTCGATTTGTGTCAATCATCCAATAATAAAAATCTCATTAAAAACAATTTTTTTCCATACTTCTTTCCTTTTTTTTCACAGCTTTCAAATCTAATTGCGTTCAACGGGTCGGTAGTACTTTGTTTTCAATCAATCTCTCATTTTGTCTGACTTCTGCACAGACAAATGTCATTATTCTGGTACAAGAAAAGTACATTCTCTATTACAAAATAACTCCAAATCTTAGATTATATCTATATGTTGAAAGTTACCGCTGAAATAGTCAATGAGTTTTTTCATTGGCTTTTCAATATCATTGGTTTGGCGGCAAATTCAGCGTTGATTTTGTTGATTTTGACGAAAACTCCGAAAACATTACGATCATATGCTGTTTATATTGCTAATTTTGCATTCACTGATTATACAGCATGCTTTCTGGCGATATTTGTAATGCAAAGGTGAGATTAAATGGTGAACTATTGGGTTGGGGAGAATGAGTCGGCGCCGAAATTTAAAGAAACTTTTTGCACCCATAAAACCTTCTTCAAATACACGTTTTGTTTCATCAAAATGGTCCACTATTTCTTTACAAAATGGCTTTTGAGAGATTCCACAAAGCTTTTCTTTTTTGGGATTTTATGGATTCCCAAACACAGCTAATCAAAATGACAAAAGTCCGACTCATTGCTTGAACAGTTTCTTCCACATAAACCGCCTTTCGTGTTTATATAAAAAAGATAGAGCACACTCAATTACATAAGTTACCAAATTTTCAGGAAGATCCCTCCAACCGTTTACTCTAGATGACAGTTTATCGATTTTGTGAAAAAATGATCCTTTGTTGAGTTGAGGCGCTGTTTGAGTTCTCTTTTAAATATTATTTTGTAGAGAATTAGTTACCCTTCTACGGATATCAAACGCATATCATTTGACAAAGTCTGCTATAAGTTTTAGAAATTTCTTTGATTTTCGGCGCCGACTCATTCTCCCCAACCCAATAGGTCTTGCTTTGTTTTAAAATCACAAATACCCGTTCTTTTGTTCAACTTTATGTATGTTATTTGATTGGTGAATGAGTCTTTTCATTGCTTTTCTTACTTTAGTTTAAAACCAACAAATACAAGAATTGAACAAGCTTGGTACAAGCACAGACTAAATAATGCAATAATTGTATCAAAGTGAATTTGTAGTACTCCTTTCCAGAATCATTCCCGACGGTGAATCCCTCACCTACATCTCCTATGGCGCTTGTTCATTTTGGGGCCATCGTGCTTGTTTCATCGGCTATTCCTTCATGTTACATTGTTATGCTCACAGTCTTATCTCGCTCATTCCATCTTTTTGGTATCGATGGTACATTCTAAAGCATGTAAGCTCTAGTAAAGTTCGATTAAAAGAAAACTTCTTCAGCGAAATCCCTCAATTCTTGTCTCAATTTTCGTTTGTCTTACTTTCTATTCCCCATCACTTTTTCAAGCGGTAAACTAAGTTTAAACTAGTAATTTGTCTTTGATTTTCTTTGATTTTTCTTTGATTTAGATCTCATTCACTTTCACCGAAGATCCCGAGCCAATAATCCGAAAATTAATGATTGAAAAATTCAATTATTCTCTTGACGGTCAGTTTTTAACAATGGAGAGCTTTTAATCTTTTAGTTTAAAGACTTTTATTCTAATTCTTAAAAAGATACAAACATTGGGATAAAGCTTGCTTATTGTTATATTGTTAGATGTTAGATTAATTTAAATCAAAGCCCCTTTTCAGGCCTAACCGTCTCTGGCCACGTCTCGATCTTCAATTTCTTGAGTCTTTTCACGATTCTCTGGCTAACTATCCCTTGTGTTCCCGTCTATATCACTGTCACAATTCTTAGGAATCGAATTCACAAAAGATTAGACAAAATCGCGATAAGTAGTAGAACAAAAAGTGTGCACAAGAAACTCGTGAAGGTTCGATCTCAAATTCATTTCCATATTCGCCCTTCAGGCTCTCGTCTTTCAAGCTTGTCTTCCATTAGTTTATTCAGTGGCTGTTTTTGCTATTCAGTCGAACAACTTCAAATTATGCATCACCCGGTTTTAGAGTTTCTGGCTTTTCAGGTAAAATTGAAGATTGTTTTCAGGTTTTAGTTTTCAATTTAAACACTCGACTTGCGGTTGATTTCATTCGATTCCCCATCAAATTCTGCTATATAGAGATCAATATTAGATTGGGTGCTTACCTGTAAGAATATCGAGAAAACCGGCGTTATACAAAACTCCGAACAAAATATACTACAAAATATAATACTACTATACTAAAATATACATCTATAACGCCGGTTTTCTCGATGTTCTTACAGGTAAGCGCTCAATCTAATATTGATCTCTATATAGCAGAATTTGTTGAGGAATCGAATGAAATTAACCGCAAGTCGATCGGACGCCTGTAGCTCGAGATCCAAAGTTTTTAGTTTTAAAGCCAAAAGAAAGGGATATTTTCACCGTTTTTCATTATTATTATACCATGTGCTTTTCCATTCTCTGCTTTTTTTCAATGATTTCCATTTGAAATCATTCTCATCAATTTCTAATTTCAATTTTCTCATTTCTTTTTCAGATTGTCGGTCTTGTGCCCGTTTTATCCCCATTTCTCTCACTTTATTTCATCTCTCCTTATCGGAAATCTCTCTTCAGAATTATCTCGTTCGGCCTTTTGAAACAAAAGAGATATATGGTAATTGAAGAATCATGCATTGAGTGAATTATTTAGGAAAACTCAAACGCTATACAACCTACAACAAATTCCATGATTTCTCAGAAAAGTCGAATTTGAAAACAAACGGAGATTTTAACATACAGTAAATTGCATTTAATTCATTGATAAATAAAATTTGATTTCCATTTAGAATCAGTATGCACTCGATGAACCCATTGTATTCCCTTGTTTTGCCAGAACATTCACCAATCCCTCGCGGTACTTTGGACTGAAATTCTCCTTTCATTTTTCTATTCATTTTTCATTTCCCCAATCTCTCCCACCTGACCAATCTAAGTCTTTTCCAAAAAGCCTTAACGCCTCTATTCTGTATGGTTTGATCATCCAAATCATTGAAACGATATTCAAAAATGTGTGCAGACAAAATAATCCCAAAAAAGATATGAGAAATCACTAAAAAGAAATCTCTAAAACTAAAAGGATCCTATTCGCTGGAACAACAATTGTAACATTTCCAAATCATACATGTAAGTCCAGTCATTTCAACTCGTTTCAACAATAAATAACCCATTCCGAGAAATGTTGGAAAATAGAAGAGAAATGAGGGAATTGCAACCTGAAAGATACTTCTCTAAATACAGAAGTGGGAAGGATTTGGTAACGGCAATAGCTTCGTACTTATGGAAATAACTAACCCCACAATACAACCTCCAGGATATTCGAAATCCGCGAAATCCGATTTTTGCTTCGAACCAGTATAAGCCGTTCTCAGCAACCCGCGTGCACTACCGATTTGGCCGGATGTTTATTGTTCTTGCCAAAGAGGTCAACCCTCGAGGGTTCGAATCCCGCTCGTTTTCATTTGGCTTTTGCTTTTTTGTTTTTCATTAGATTTTTCAAGAAGCGATTAGCTGAGCCCAGGTCCTTACGAATCTGTGGAATTATTACCCTTCCATTAACGATTCATCTGTGGAATTATTACCCTTTCATTAACGAAAGCTAAGGGAAAAACCAAGTTTACTTTCCCTCTCGTCCTACCTTTTAGAAATCATTGAAAATTGCGAAAATTTTGATTCGAATTGACTGATATTATAATTTTCTGAATACTTTTTTAAACAACTTTTTTGATCCTTTGTAGAGATAGAATATTGAAATCAAGAAACTATTTTCCTAAAAACCTTTCAAGCACAACTAACTTGAACCGTCAACCATCAACTAGAAACTTTTTTCTTCAGAACTCATTATTACGTGTGCTAGAGAGTGTTAAAAGAAAAAAAGATGTAAAGAAGAGGTAGAAAAAGCGAAAAACTTAATAAAAGGTCACAAAGATCGTTAAATAAAAAAAACTCGTTAAATACTCGAATACAAAACCGCCAATTAATTTCCGTTGCTTAGCTGAATATCTTTAAAGCACTTTTGCCTCTCCTTATACCGCGAGGAATTGCTACCGTTGTCAAACGAAGACTACGATAGAATTAATTTTAGTATATACTAGTTCATTACATTGCATTTTAGACTCCCAAACGCATTTTTTGGCAGTTTTTCCGGGATTTTTAGTGTTTTCAAGGTTTTTCTTTATGCAATCCTTGTGGAGAGACTGAAACTCAGATTGGTATACAAATAGTTGTGGTTCTAGAAAATCACTTTTAAGGCCGGGAGTACCCCTTTAAAGACCGGAACATATTGCTGCTGACAAAGGGAATGAGTCTAAAAGTCCTGCGCCAGACGAGCGAGCGATTGCCTCACGGCACAACGGAATCTTTTGTTCTCTCACCTCGCGCTCTCTTTACAAAGGAATCTCTTTTGTTCTGTAAACATTGCTCAGATCAAGATATGACTCAAAAGTTTTAACCAAAGGTTTTCGGGGTTGGGGAAGCGATTGACGGGTTTCGTTTGCTGTATCTCCAAGCAAAATCTCTAATTTGTGCTGAGCTTAGGCCATTTCCCCGTTTTTTGGCTACAAATAACTATTGCGGAGGTATAACCCATAAAAATCCATAGTACTTAGCCTGAATATTTTGGCTTAGCGGTATTGCAGTGAGAGTCGCTGATAATTCGTTGAGAATACTTCAAAACCTTACCTGAATGATCAACGATCGAACGAGCATTTTGTGCATTTCATACGTTTTCTCACTCATCGCACTTTTATGACGCTGAAACGATTTCTCCTCGAAAAACTTCTTTGATTTCTTTGATCTCACCACCAAAACTTGGAAAATCCGATGAATTACCCAGGCAACAATCGCAAAAACAACAAATGTCCCAGATGAAGCACTCCAAAATACATGTGCATTATAGGGATTGAGAGTTCTGGCTCCAAAAAAACATAATTCGATAGTGTAATTATATCGGAAAACTCGGGAAATCTCTGTAATTGGAAAGCGAATTAGAAAAGATGTAAGTGATAGAGTATAAAACTGTGAAAAACTGTGAAAATAGAATACCTCTCGTATAAAAGCTTCCATTTTGGTTCTAGGTGAATAGGCAAGGAAAGGCGAAAGTCATAATAAGAATCGAGTTCCCGAAATGCATCACAATTCCGATTGCGGTCAGAAATCTGATGATTTAGCTTATTGTTTGTTAACAGATTTAAGCAAAAGTAAGCCCTTTTAATTCAAAAATCAACTCCTGACTTACTTTTTTCGCCGATCCAACACACCAACTGAATCAAGAACGATCAAACGATACAAAACAAAGTCGGGCAGTTATAAGCGGGGCGTCGACCATGATTTAAACATTAGCATCATCGAAAATTTGAGCATACAAAATTGTGGTGAAATGAGTGCAGAGCTCTCACTTTACCATGCAAAATATCCACAATCGGGTAGTGGAGGCATCAACCAAGTCAGAAGAGCTGAAGAAGTCGTGCCACCAAATAAAGGAAAGTGAATAATTGAAGTTCCGTTTTCAAAGTCAGCATTATATCGGCTCCGGTTGTCCAACCCTTGAAAAGTTAGTTGGTAAAGTTTTGTCTTTTTTCTTGTTTCTCTTTTTGGTCAGCCGTGGAAGTTGTAGCTAGAGTTGGTCTAACTTTAACTAGAAAACTTTTTCAATTGAGCATCGAGTTGGGGAAAGTGAAAACTAAAAATTCTCTCTCAAAATTTTAAGAGACGCGTGTTTTTCAATTTTACTGAAACAATAGAGAAATTTCCAAGGAAAACGCGTTTGGGCACCGGTATAGGGTCGACTTCATTTTCATTCCATAGGCCACCGGATGGCCTTAGGAGAAAAGAGGCGCACGTCCCACGACTAGACAGTTTTCTGTGATTCCTGGCTCCATTCTCTTCACCGTCATTCCTTTTTTTGCTTTTATGTTAATTTCTATGCTAAAACCTCCCAATGGTTCTATCGTTGCTTTAGCTATAGAGTTGATTCAACCCTCTTCTAGCTATTAGGCTTCCCAGCGAGTACCATCAAAAACTTACCCAAATATGTGCAAATAAGATCCACTTCTATAATTTCTCATTTCAGGCGGTGTTTTGTCCAAATCAAAATATCCGGTAAAGATGTAGTGATCGGTATTGTGAAGATATTTGCCACATAGAACACTCTCAACGGGAAATAAATCTCATACGTGATGTTACGGCCCCAGATTGAGATCATGCAAAAATTTATAGAAAATCTTTAAGTTGATTCAACGTAAGCTGTAGCTCTCAGAATTTCAGCTGCTGGTTTTCCCAAAAAAAAAAATAGAATGTTTTCAAGAATTGATTGGGTAAAAGTGTTTTGTGTGGGGAAACTTGAAAAAAACGTGGAAACAAAAACTATATTAAGACAAGGACTGGATGATTTGAATTTGAATTTGAGACATTTGAATGACTGGGAATTGTTTGATGATTCGAGTGATGAGATGAGAAAATCACTGTTGACCCATCCGAATATCTGGAAAATTCAACAATCCCCTTTCGTCAGCCTTTGAAACGAACTCCTTCTTTCGAATTTTCGCCACAATTTTCAGCACAGCAATCCGATAGGGTTTTATGAAATAAATCATCGAGATCAGATTGAGATTTGTGTGAAGACACATTAAGACCAAGAACGTATTTGAAATGACTAAAAGAATTTTAGCAAATCAAAAGGGAATCCAAACTTGGCACAATCGGGGAATTGCTTCGATTGAACAGCAGATAGCCCATACCCAATGTTGAGGGGAAATAAAAGACAAGCAATGGGAGAACCGCCTAAAATGGAAACATATTTAAAGTTCAACAAATAGGTTTTTCGTTCTTTTTCGTACTTTCGTTTGAAAAATAACAAATTCACCAATTAAACTAGGTTTCTTTTCATTACAAACCTGCCAAATTAGCGAAATTGTGAGCATTCGATGTTGCTGATATGTTCGATCGCTCATTATATGACGGCTACCCTAAAAATCACGTTTTAATGTTCTTTTTGACATTTATCGCTGACAATTCGTTAGCAATTTGTGACATTAGATATTGTTGAGAAATATTAAACTCGCTTTTGGAGTTTTCCACACTCCAAAAGCGAGTTTAACATTTCTTTTTTAAATGGAATTGATTGGAAACAAGATATCAGGAATGTCTGGATGATTTGCAATCTGATTTCTAGCTACACTTCTGGGAAAAGTTAACAATTTGCAAAGTCTCCTATCGTGAATACTTCTCCCAGGTACTTTCAGCCTTCTTTCAAACAATTTTTAGTGTCCCTTTTCAAAAGATTTCCCTCATTTCACCTGCTATTCGTACTTTTGCCAAAAGCAAAACAACTTTCCCCGAGGGTACCTTCAGAATTTGAAAAATGCGTATAATGACGTAAGTGACGATAGTGAAAATGCAGCAATTTCCGAAAGTGAACGTGATAAACATATAGGCATTCCAATGGTTGAGACTCGGTTCCATTAAGAGGAAATTCGGGATCGATAAAACGGAGGAATGATCCGGGAAATTCTAAACTATGAATTGACTATCACCTTGTGGCGAATTGATAAACAGAAAAAAACGCTAAACTTGGGTAACTAAACCAGGCAACTGGGGTTTAGGCGACAAAACTTCTATTCAAGCATCCTTCAGCTTTTGATATCTGGTCGGGATAGGTCCACTCGTTTTGTAAAAATGAACGAGCTGGTCTTCTGATCTATCGATTGTTTTTGAGTCCGCATTGTTTGAATGAATCTGCATCGCTTCCGAAAGCTTCTCCCACGTCTCGACGATCCATTCCAAGTATAGTTTGATGATGGTTTAAGGTTTCCTCCTTTAGTGATCCTTTAGTGAGCTCCGGGTTTAATTTCTGTTTGGCGTATTTGATCACTTCGAGCTTGAATTTCACGCCAAAGACTCACCGCTTTGCTACTCTTGCACTCGTCAAATCCTCGGCTTTATTTGCATCCTTTCCTCGTTTGGTCTCTTTCTTAACATTTCTCTCGCTTCCTTATCTCATCCATCTTCACTTCCATCGTCATCGAAGCTCTTGTTTAATCCTTGTTCTGCTTTGTTCATAATCCCGATAATCACAAAAAGCAGTAAAAGCATCCATTTGATCCAACGATCGTTCGAGTGATTGCTTGTTGATCGTCTCTTCGGTTGACGTCTCCATCACATAAAAAAGAAAATA